ATTACCTACAGATCATGTCATAAACACCCTTTTGCTCTTGCAGAACACACATTAACAGCATCCACCTGAGCCCGTACCCCATAAACGTTATACCTCATGTGTTCCTAGTAAACCAGTTACGTAGCCTTAAGAAGTGTTTAATACTTGACCAAGATCCCAAAGCACTTCAAACATGACCGGAAACAAGTGATCAACATGTTTTTAGCAAACATGAAGTCACCCCCAGAATGGGCCGTTACCCAGTGGAGCGCACGGGCTGTGGGTATAAATGGGGAAGGTTCCAGCAGAGCTCCGCACTTGGTGTGGCTGGTCCTTCCTGCCCTGCACGAAGAACCCTCAGCACCATGAGGGGCACAGCGCTGGCACTGGCCTGTCTGACTCTCCTGATTGTGGCACAGGGAGGACAAGGGGAAGGAAACACTGTGAGGCTCTGTGGGAGAGACTTTGTCAGAGCCGTCGTGTTCACCTGTGGCGGCTCGCGCTGGAAGAGGCATCTGACTGATCATCGCTACCTCTTGGGTAAGTACCAATTGAAGCATCACAGCCTCATCCTCGGTGCATCCAGCTCCAAGGGGATTCAGAAGCAGCACAATCCCTGCAGGCTGTGCCTTGGGAGCCCTCCACTCCCACTGTCGTATATATCTATACTCATTAGTGCATTTTTGGATAGCAAGAAAATTCAGCCATTACATGCACTGCTAGGAATTTGCACTCTGACAGATTTATCTGACAGATAAATAGAAAACAAGAAAATAACTGAGGCAGATGACAGGAATAGAGACTTTCTGCACTTCCCACACCTGCATTTTTGGAAAACTCTCTTATAGCAGCAGCTCTAAACAAATACAAAAAGAGATGCCACCCACAACACCCTCCGTGAGAGTTTGGTGCTAAACTAAGCAAGAACTACTACACCTTTACAAACTCCAGAAGGCAGTGTCCAGATGTCCAAAAGTGTTTAAAATGCAGCTGAATTGTGAGTGTAATTGAAGTGGGAACACCCAGGACTATGAAATTGTGGTGTAGGTGATGCCTTAATGTAAAACCTGCATGTCAGGAATCCCATAGGCAGGCCTAAGTTAATGTGCCAGTAAAGTGCCATTTACACATCTAACCACAGTTTTTCCCTTGGAAGCAAATATATCAGTGTAAGACTGACAAGGCAACAAAGAATACTCTTAAATATAAATCCATGAATTACTGGTTTTTTAAACACATTGCTCAGATTGTGAGCAAGTCAGTGATCTGGTACACATTGGTTGCTCACATTAGAAACATGAAGTATAACACCATCAGCTCCCTGGCTGTAGGTTGGTGTGTCTTTCTAGTAAAGATAAATACTTAAATTACTCATCTTTCTGTGACTTCTAACTCTTAGCTTCTAATTTTTATGCCACAGAGACTGAAAACCCCCAGCCTTTCCCACACAACGGTGACGTTGACTCCTCAACCTACACAGACCAGAGATTGGGGACCAACCGCGAAGAAACCCACGAGGTCGAGTCCAAGCCAGAGCAAGACTTGCACCACACCAGCAAAATGTCTGTGCTAAGCAAGCGTGAGGCAGCCAAGCTGCTCACCACATCCTGCTGCAACGTGGGCTGCAGCAGGAGGGAGATCAGCTCCCTGTGCTGAAACGGGGCTGCTGAGGCTCAATATCACAGCTTCAGTGGATTAAAATAATCATGACATAAACCACAATTAGTTCAGTTGTGTTCTTTAATTGTAGCTTTACCATTTTGAGTGTTAAATGTCATAGTGCACACTAGCAAGTGGCTGCAGTGACAGTTCAGGTTGATTGGATTTCACAGTGTTTACAAGAGGTTTAGTTAAACTCATTCATGAGTACAAATATTTCTTTCTAACTAACTACTCTTCTAGTTTCAGCTTTGCATGTAAAATATAATAAAATAAGTATTTTATGATAGGTTTGTTCTCTTACTCAGGAAAATCCAACAGCAGGTTTCAGCTGGGAAACAGGAGAAGCAAAAAGTCTGGTTTCAGAATCAGAGCAAGGCACAGGAAGCTCTGTCACACTGCAAGGTCAGCCAGACCCCAACCAGTGGGGAACGGCTGCACCAGGAGAGACTTAGGACCATCAGCCCCAGCCTCTAAACTGGACGGGCATAAACCCACAGCTTATCTCCTAATCCGGCTGCTTTCAATAACATTTCCCTGAAGTCCAACTTAACAGACAGTTAATTTGCACCCAGGGAGATTGAAAACACACTTCTGAACTGAGGGCTGTATTGCATCTCTTATCTAAGGGCAGGTATTGGCTGAGAACCACAGCTGAAATTCAGTATTCTCGATTCAAGCACTTTCAATAGAAGGGCCCAGATATGTCAGATTTATATACTCTAAACATAGTATCGTTTAAAGACAATTTTCACTTCATTTCACTGGTCCTAGATGGAGAGGGACTGACAAGGGCATGGAGTAGCAGGACAAGGGGGAATGGTAGCAAACTGAAAGATGGCAGGGTTAGATTGGAAATTGCAAAGAAATCTTCCTCGTGAGGGTGGTAAGGCCCTGGCACAGGTTGCCCAGAGAAGCTGTGGCTACCCCTCCCTGGAAGTGTCCAAGGCCAGGTTGGACGGGGCTTGCAGCAACCTGGGATAGTGGAAGGTGTCCCTGCCCACGGCAGGGTGTGGAACTGGATGAGCTTTAAGATCCCTTCCAACCCAGAGCAGTCTGGGATTCTATGATTCAAGCAGAACCAGCTACCTTCTCTCAGCCACCTTTTCTGTGCTCAGGCCTGGCATGCACTAACTGCCTGCAAACATCATTAACAGAGATTGTCTTAAAATGCTCTTGTTTTACTCTCCAAAAAACCCTCTGTGGTTTCTGCTCAGGGATCACGGAATGAAGGTAAATTCAGGGAGATAAAAACGTTATAGGGAATATTCTTAAAATATTATTTTCCCTGCAGGGAAAGTTCTGAAAGTAGTGAGAATTGGGTGCAAAACAGTGTGTCAGAGAGAACCACTTCCCAGAGAAAGCTCTGGGAAACAGCTAATTACGTTTACCCAAAGGCTCACAGTAGCCACATTTCAAAACAGGTGAGAGTACTTTGGTCCTTCACAAATGTTTTCTACAACAGAAACAGGAAGAGTTAGGCTGAACTTCCATTTCTTCTGCTGTTAAGCTCGACTACCTCCCTATTCAAAATACACACCATAGACATTTGCAACAGCAAACAGGGAAGTGTTCTTGAACACATACGATGAAAACGTGTCGCTCACAGGATCCCACAGGCACCTGCTCCCAATCTGCATGCTCTGCTCATCCAGCTGCCCAATGTGTGTCACCACCACAATCTTGTACCTAGGGATCACAAGGTCTTTCACCCGCGCTTTAACCATCTGCAGGAGAAAAACAAGTTTAGTCCATGTGTTCAAAGATGGAGACAGATGTTTAGCAGGGTAGGACACAGGGGGAATAGTATTAAACTGACAGAGGGGTTAGACTGGATATTGGGAAGGAATCCTTGGCTGTGAGGGCAGTGAGGCCCTGGCACAGGTTGCCCAGAGAAGCTGTGGCTGCCCCATGCCTGGAAGTGTTCAAGGCCAGGATGGACAGGGCTTGGAGCAACCTGGGATAGTGGAAGGTGTCCCTGCCCATGGCAGGGAGTGGAACGAGATGAGCTTTAAGGTCCCTCCCAACCCAAACCATTCTATTAATTAACTCGTATCCACGTGCACCCTCCTCCACCCTTTATTTCACGCTTCATAGGTATTTTGGGGGATATCTGGGGAGCTCCCCAGCAGCCACCTCCCTCACACCCCATCGAACCATGAGGGCAGAATGTCCACCTGCTCCCTCCTACCTCAGCGATGTCCTTCGCCACCTCCCTGCACTGCGCCGGCTCATAGCGCTGCTCCCTCAAGTAACTCTCCACCACTTCCCTCAGGATCTCATCCACTGCTGCCACTGGGAAGCGCTTGGAAGGACCTGTGAGGCAAAGCTCAGGCTTATGAGGAAAAACCTGCCGGGCGGAAGGCGGTTTGGAGATGCAGTCGTACCCAGACCCACCCGAGCGGGGGTCGCTTATGGCCGCACCAGCCTCCATCCCCCTCAGCCGTCCTCCACCCCCTCAGCGCGGAGGGAGGCGGAAGGGCGGCGGCCAGTGCCGCCCTGCGGCCACCGGGAGGGGGAAGTCGCCCGCCGCATTCCCGGCCCCTGCGTTCCCGGCCTTCGCCTGTGTGCTCGCAGCCTCCCGGGGGACTGTGTATTCCTACGGCTGCCGTGGGTCCCCGTAGCTTCCACCAGTCCCTGTGCATCCCTGTAACCCCACAGAGGTCCCATGGGTCCCCACAGCTCCCACTAGTCCCTGTGTGTCCGTATAACCTCCCACAGGTGCCCATGGCTAACACAAGTCACCACAGCTTCCATAGGTCCCTGTGTCCACTTACAGCCCCTAGGTCTCCGTGGCTTTCACAGGTCCTGGTGTCCCCTTACATCCCCCACAGGTTTCCCATGGCTCCCACAGGTTGCTGTATTCCCTCACAGCCCCCGCAGGTCCCTGCATGTCCTCACAACTTCCACATGTCCCCACAGACTCCTCCAAGGTCCCCACAGTATCCACAGGTTCCCATGTACACCTAAAAGTCCCAGGTCCCTGTGGCCCCCACAAGTCCACACAGCCCCCCCAAATGTCCCTATGGTCCCCCTGTGGGTCCCCATGGGTTCCTATAGCCCCCACAGATTCCCATGACCCCTGTGGATCCCTACAGCGCTGACATATCCTCATGGCCTCCATGGGTCCTCTCAAGCTCCATCCATCCCCGTGGTCCTTGTGGATTCCTAGTGTTCCCACATGCCAACCCTGACCTGTCCCCATGTGGGACACTGTGCATAACTCCAACAGCAATAACAGGTTTTGGGCCAGAGATGATTTTTTTCTGGGCAAGGGACCCTTTTTTGGGCCAGCCCCCAATACCTCTGCCTGTCTCCTCTGGGTTCTCTTGCTTATGGAAGCAAAGCTCACTCAGAAAAAGTATTGTTTTACTGTTTTTGTTTATTTTCAAGGAAAAAATAATATCACATTTAAATTGCAACTCAATTGGGAATTTAATGTGGATCTTATGTATAGAATCCATAAACTTTGTTCTGACATGGGGATTTATCTGTCGCAACGTTATGCATGGTAAATAATTGCATATTCGAGATTCGGTGAAATGGGTGACAAGGAGAATGGAGGAGAGACATTTATAAAAAACAGTATTTACAAAAATGATATCCACATAGTCGTACTCTAATCTATAAGGCAAGTAACATTTAAAATATGTTGTTTCATGATTATCTTCAACAAGTCAATACAACACATTCATATTACCAGTGGTCAAATACAAAGCTTCGCTGCAGTAGTCCCTGTGCAACAAACCTGTACGTCTTTTACAGTTTTTTTTTTCTCTGAGAACAGTAGGAAAGCAGCAAAGTTTTCATCACAGACTAAGCAGTACCTAGGCCATCGTAGACTAAAGGTATAATATATCTCATTGCACGTTTAGGCAAAAAAGGCCAGCCATTCATTAACTTATTTAACTTAAATCTTAAAAATAGACCTGTGTATCTTAATCCACAAATATTTATAAACATTTTATACATGAGGGAGTTCATAAAATGATACAGGGTGATACCTGGGGAAATCTGATTCACTGCTGGGGTGTCTTGGTGAGGTTCTCCTACATTCCATGCCCTCCACCCACCAGCCCTGGCTGCAGGAAGGAGCTTCACAACACATTCCAATGGGATTCCTCGCTCACCATGACCAACATCTCCACGTGTTTTATATAATCCAAGCAACCAGGTGATTTCATCAACCTTAAGGCATTTTGGAGTGGAAAAGCCCATCCCTGTGTGGATGAGGAACCTGACAGCAGGATGGCTGTACCTAGAAAGAGTGGGATTTCTAATGGAGGAACAAGATATCCCAAATGCCTCACTAAAACCTGGTGTGTTTCACCACATCCTGCATGGCCTGTGCCGAGTCCTGCTTGTCTGAAAACCTTGGAAGAGCATCACCACTTTAACGCTCATGGTTTCAAGAACCATTGCCAGCAGCATCATCCCTCCTAAAGGGAAAGGGAAGGCAGGAGCAGGGCGTATTCCTGCAAATCTTTTCCTAGCCTTGCAGTGAAATAAGAACTAAAATCCCGATTGAAATAAGAACTAAAATCCTGATTATTATAAAACCTCCCCAGCTCTGCAAGGATTACTTTCCTTGGGAAATGGTGAGAAAAAGAACAGAAGAATTCTGGCTATGAAATGAAATCTTTGAGGCAGTAATTTCTTACCAGGAAAGTATGACATGATGTTACATATAAAATATGTCAAGCTTCAAAATTAAGTGTTTTAACCAAGATGTTTTCACATAGAACCAACAGAAGAGTAGGGGAAAAACCACTCCATACTTAGTGCATGGATGTGAGGTTTTTTTAAGTAGATGTTGGGTGTTTGGGTAACAGATCCATGGGCAGTATGTCAAAAAAGAGGTGGAACGGAGCAGGATTCCTCTGTGACCCAAAACTGCCCCATGTGCCCAGTGGGCCTGGAAACAGTTGCTGACAGAGATTGGTAGCCAAGGATGAGGTCTGAATGTTTTTATGATTCCTTCTTAAGTCTTTTAAAAATCTTCTCAGTGCACTCCAGTCTTTTAAAATGCCTCTACTGGGAGAAAGTGAAGTGGTGACTCTTTATGTGATGCTTGTGCTGAAGGAATCTTGGGTGGCTGCAGCCTTCCCTCTCCATCCCCTTCCTGCCTGGCTAAAACAGGATGACATTCCAACAGAAATTTCTAGGTTTTTGCCTCCTATGTTTTAAAAAACTTTTAACAGATAAAACCTGAAAGGACAGATCAAAGGCAAAGTAATTTAAATGAAATCCTGAATGACAGCAAAAATAAGAATTATTGAACAGGGGAGTGATATTTAAGAGGCACCAAATGCAGGCACCAAATGAAAAGCTCATTATTTGGTAGTATTTCATACTAGTGAGTGATTTCACAGTTATGAAGAAATATTGTTAAAGTAGAAAATTGGTCTGAAAGGTCTCCTGTGAGGAGCACCATAAGCTGACTGAGAATCCTGACTGTTTACAACAAACAGGAGAAAAGTCACCAAAAAAATTTACTTCCTGCTCCTGACATCTAAAAACCCAAGTCTTCAGGTGTCTGTGGGGGAAAACCCTCCTGCTCCATCAGAGGAACTTTGACTCTGCAGGTGTGGGCTGCTGAAATTCCCAGGGGAAAATTCCTCTGGGAGAGGTTGCTGAGACACAGTCTAAAGGGAAGGGTCCATGGGAGTAACTGAGCTAAAGCCTTTCTGTGCATGCAACCACATATTTTTTTTTAATGCCTCCTTTCTTTGTCCTTTTTTTCACTCAGATAGATCAGAGTGCTGCTGAGCTCAGGAGTGCTAGAGCTGGGCAGTGCCAGAGGGCTGGGCCCCCTTTCCAGCCTCTGTCTGACTTGGCAAAAGACCTGCTGGACCACATGCTGGGAAACAGAGCAGTGGTGCTTCCCGCTAGGAGTGCTCCCAGGCCTGGAGCCCCTCTGCTCTGGAGACAGGCTGAGAAAGCTGGGGGTGTTCAGCCTGGAGAAGAAAAGGCTCCAGGGAGATCTTAGAGCCCTTCCAGTGCCTAAAGGGGCTCCAAAAGAGCTGGAGAGGGATCTGGGACAAGGGCTTGGAGTGACAGGAAAGGGGGAATGGCTTCCCACTGTCAGAGGGCAGGGTTAGATGGGACATTGGGAAGTAATTCTTGGCTGTGAGCGATATACATCCCTATACATGCTCCTATTTGACGTTCTACATTAAACACTCAGACCAACCTAAGCTGCTGCCCATAACCTTTTTCTGCTGAGACTTTCTCAAAGCGAGACAGGAAGAAGACCAGGCTCTTGCACTTTGGACTCGGGAACAACAACAGTTGTGTTCCCCACATTGGGTAACACTGGGGTGCCACATTCATACGTGCAAGAAGACAAACGCCCAGCAAAACCAGCATCCCTGTGGTACTCTGCTAAAACACTATGCAAAAAAACTGGCCAAAGCAATATGGAAGGAACTTGTCCTCTGTCCCAAACCGCTGGTTTTGGTCCCGGTGTTGTGGGTTTGGTGTCACCTGCCCATGGCTGGAGGGCAAACCACATCCCTGTGGGGCTGGAAGTGTCATGGCACATTGGACACAGACCTGCCAGCCAATTCACCCCAGAAAGTGCACAGAACTGCCCTATCTCTCTACCTAGGCCACAGGAGCTGCATCCCAAAAAAGTGACTCCATTTTGTGCCACAGCACAAATGGGACGAGCTTGGAAGCTTTGGGTTATGGGTTTTTCTGTTTAAAAAGCATTCAAAAACCCAATGCTATGTAAACACCTTGTCTTTCGAATGAAATATAAAGTAAAATCTCTATGTTCTGGTAATATTTACACAATAAACCCCTTATTTTTGGGCCTATGCCATAGATCTCTTTTGGAAGGATGAGTTTGTAACACTTGTACACAGCATGAAGTGATGACGCACAAACTGATTCTTAGGGTTTGCCCTGTATTCCTGTATCAGAAAGGGGTGGGTTACACACTTTATACATATTTCCAGTTCAGGGGGAAAATCATTAATGGAGTGGGACACTCCATTCAGGAGCACTGCTGAGTGTACTTCCAAAATCTGCCAAGATGTGGGAAGTTGCAGAACCAAATTGTGCTTTATCTTCCCTGTTGCTGCCTTTTGTGAATGCACACACACAATTCACCCCTCAGTCATACAAATCACAGCCTGGGAGTCACCTCAGACTTGAAATATCTCCAAATTTCCTTATTTTTTTTTAAGATGGGCACAGCTCTCTGTTTTTCTACATCAATCCAAACTGCGCAATAATCAAGCACTTCCCAACATGCCCAGTCTAAGTTTTCCAATGCAAATACACAAGCCTAGTCCTGGCAACATTTATGACTGTAAAATCAGAACTATTTGTCATCTTACACATTCCCGAAGTCCCCAGCACCCAGTTCAGTGGATGCTCCTGAGCTTCTCTGTGCATCTGAACTGCAACTGTGTTTAATTTTGTAAAGAGCCCTTCTTTTCTTTCCCAATATTGCCAAATTCTCCCATTAAACAAGCTCCACATCTCAGAGATGCTGTGCCATTAATGCCACCAATGCCATCACCGTGTTGCCAGAAGTAGGATGAGACCAATGTCAACAAGATCCCAAATGCTGCACAGGGATGAGCAGCAGGACACCAGCTCCCAGGAAAAACACAGAGGGATAATTTTTTGATCCTCAGCCTCCCGTTTAGCAATTTCATGTATTTTCCCATCTCCAGGAGAGAGCTGCTCCCAATGCCAGCGAGGCTGGCTCCTGCCCCACTGTATTTTGGCAGTTCCCCAGGGAGTTGTTTCCCAGTCCATACACACTTTTCTGCCTTAGTGGTAAAATGGAAAGGCCTCGGGGGGCTGCATGTCTGTAAAACATTTTCTAAACCCATTGGGCTTTCAAAAATGGGGGGCAAGGCAGAAAAGCGAGCAAAGGAATATAAAAATGCAACCAAAAATCTGGAGGCGGCTCGGAAAACGCATCCTTAAAAACAGCAGGAACATTTCCTGACAGTGCTGTAAGCTCAGATTTACCACCCAGTCTCTTTGCTACTTATTTCCTTATCTGAATCCCTGCAAAATATATGGACATGGGGTAAAGAGAAATGTTGGTCACCCACATGCTGCCGGGACTCCTGACAGGGAATCTGCAGCTGTAAGAGAACACAGGGCAGGTTGGGAATTTGGAATAAATACTCCTTGTAGATTTTTTTCCTGGGAGACTGTGCTAGTGACCTCCACCTTTACGGCAATATTTCTCTGGAGTTAAACCAGCTAAACCTGAAGATTAAGCTTTTTATTCATCGCTGTGAGACGTACTAAAGATTGAAGGGAAAGTAAATCAGCATGTGGGCTCTACTGAACTCTCTTTTGATGAGGCGCCCCCTTCATAACAGCTACCAGTATTGTATTTAAATTGTATATATTGACAAAATGTAATCTACCTCTGTAAGCATTGTGCCATTCAACAGTACTACTATTAGATTTATATACCACAGTTTAAATTACATCCATTTCATGAATGGTAAAATGCTAAAACTCAAGTGTCTAACTGCCAAAATACAGCCTTACTGGAATGAGTACAATTTACAAATACAATAATTACATTTTAAAACCATTAACAATGTTACATCTAGAAGTAAATACTGTAGGACTGGTCAAGACGGTGTTTTCCAAGGAAAAAAAATGCTGAAAGTTGTCGACACTTCCAACAGAAATGTCCCAAGTACAGGATTTAGTTCATTTTCCTTAAACTGTAATTAAAACCCGTTCCACACACAGCAGTCCTTGGGTATTTTCCATAGTATTTTCCATAGACTTGCATAAGCTTCCATCAGTTATCAGCCAAGTATTTACCTAGAAATGGGATCAGAAATCAACTGAGGGGAGGGAGCAGCCCTGGTTCCTAAGGGATGGTTGCCCACCTCCGCCAGCCCCCCTCCCACAGGGCACACGGGAAAATCCTTGTATTTCTCTGCAGCAATGTAATACATGGAAGAATCCCTATATTTCTCTGCAGCAGATCCCAGACCTTGCCTTTCATGGAGGAACGCCTGAGCAGGAAAGAGCCCATGAAATTCCAGGCTCCCGTAAGTGGCAGCAGGATTTATGTCATGCAGTGGAGCTGTTGCCCCTCTGTCCCCAGCCAGCCCCATTACGCTGAGCTGTGGCAGGAGCTCTGGGCTTGAGCAGCCAACAAATACACAGCAGGAGCATTCCCAGCACCCCAATACAGGCAGAGAGGAGCCGATGGCGAGGCACCTACCTGCTGCAAACCTTTTCTTGATGAGGGAGAAGCGGTACCCGGCGCCCACAAGCTCAATGTCGCAGCTGGACAGGGTGCTGCCCTCGCTGGTGAACTGCACGGCCAGTGGGGCCGGGCTGCTCGGCCCCTCTGACAGCTGGAACCGGGCCAGCAGAGACCCCACACCTGCAATGGAAGAGCCACATGAAACCCTTACAAGCCTGGAGAGGCACACGGAGCACCCCAGCACTGGGTTTGCCGGCAAAGCTCTCTAATGGCTTAAAACGTTTCTTATATTGGGCCCCACAATATAAGAAATAAATGAAACCATTAGAGAGTGTCCAAAGGAGGGCAGTGGAGATGGGGAAGGGCCTTAAGGGGAAGTCGTGTGAGGAGCGGCTGAGGGCACTTGGTGTGTTCAGCTGGAGAAGAGGAGACTGAGGGGAGACCTCATTGCAGTTACAGCTTCCTTGGGAGGGGAAGAGGAGGGGCAGGCACTGATCTCTGCTCTGTGGGGACCAGTAACAGGGAATGGCCTGAAATTGTGTCAGGGAAGGTTTAAGTTGGATCTTAGAAAAAGGTTCTTCCCCCAGAGGGTGGTTGGGCACTGAACAGGCTCCCCAGGGCAGTGGTCACAGCACCAAGGCTGAGAGAGCTCAAGGAGTATTTGGATGATACACTGGGGCACATGGTGTGACTCTTGGGGATCCTGTGCAGGGCTAAGGGTTGGACTTGATGATCCTTGTGGGTCCCTTCCAACTCACATATTCTGTGATTCTGTGAGATGCCCAAATCATCACAAGTGAAGTCCAGTCTCATGGGGCTCCCCAACCCTCCAGCATCCCTGGGGCAGGAGGCAAACTCCTCCCATCCTCCCAGCAGAATTTGACTTTTCAGACACCCCAGCAATAAGGAGCAGCTGAGCATGTGGGTTACACATGGAGAAGCCACTTGTGGGAGACTGTGGTCACCTCAACAGGGACACGACGTGGGGCCTCAGCCTTCAAATACAGAAGGTCAAGGGACAAAGGACTTGGCAAACCACCACGTCCAAACCTGGTGTGTTAATACCCTCCTGTGATGCCAAGGCGCTTGGCAAAGCAGCACCAGTGGCGCGTAGCCCTGCTTTTCTAAGCTCTGCTTTAAATAGCATTCTCCCCGGCAAGCCCCAGCAGGAATCCGTGTGTCTGGGCTTGTGTGCCGGCATGATAAACGGGTCAGTGTCTGATTTAAGGATTCAGAGTTAATAACATGCATATTTTGAGGATTACCTCCATTTTCTGACTTCTGAGAGATATCAGGGATCTTCCACAATATCCTTTGCTGTTCAGCATTCCTGAAAACAAATGAAGAGCATTTCTGTAGGAAAAAAGAAATTGCCAAGGAGTCATTTGAATTTTGCTAAAGGCCGTGTGGGCTGGTGGTGGGGGCGACCTGCTCCGGTGCTGCTCTCTGGAGCTGCAATTCTGGGAGCTTGGATTTGGGTTTGGGATGGTGGGTTTAGCAGAGCTGGGTTAATGGCTAGACTCGATAGTCTTAGAAAGCTTTTCCAATATAATTCTATGATTGTATGAGCTGAGCAGGAAAATGCTGTCCTTGGGTTGTAGGTGAGCGATGGGCAAGAGGCAGTGCTGTGCCCTGCTGGAAATGTTCATGCTGCTGCCTATGGGAGCAACAGCCGTGCATACCTCCATAGGATCACAGCATCCCAGACTGGGTTGGTTGGAAGGGACCTCAAAGCTCATCTCATTCCACTCCCTGCCATGGGCAGGGACACCTTCCACGAGATCAGGTTTCTCCAAGCCCTGTCCAACCTGGCCTTGGATGCTTCCAGGGATGAGGCAAGCAGCCACAGCTTCTCTGGCCAACCTGTGCCAGGGCCTATGGCAGTGATGGCCCTGCAGCCCTCTGAGCCCCAGAAAAAGCAGCCATAACACAAAATAAGGGCTGATGCTCTGCTGCCCACACACATGCATTTGTCTCTGACCATTTTCTTGTGGAAATGGCAAGAAAAAATAAATCAGAGTGGGGTTGCAGCCTTCCTCCTGCAAGAGGAGGGAAGGTTTCGGTTCCTAGCATGCCCCCAGCTCCCACCCACAGACCCTCCTGAATTGAGCCTGCTCCTGCAGTTCTAGGCGGGGGACACAGCAGAGAGAGGGAAGGAGCTCAATCCCTACCAGACAGCAGGAGGAAGCACAGCTTGAAGTTTGGTTACTCCTCCGTCGACGGGGACGAGGAACTGGACGTTGTTTAGAGCTACCGGTGTGGTCATTGCCTCTGTATTGTATTTGTAGTCGATGCGGAGGTCAGTGCTTGCAGGGTCACACCGCCAGCTCACTGCAAGGTTTAATGGAGTAGACTGAATACCCTGGGCAGATACCTTCCAAAATGACAGAAAAAACATTTAGTTTCCATAGGGGTGAAGGGAGAAGTCCCGTTTTACAGCCGCGCTCATTGCATTCGGTTTCAGAGGAGGCAATACCTTGTACTCCCACCAAAACTCCATACTGGGCTCAAAGCCAGACAATCTAGCGCCACAAGAAGGGACTAAAGGGATAACATGCCCCCACCTCACGTTAGCTACACTCTGCACTAGGGAAACACCAGCTTTTACGTCTACAATTCAGCAGAGGTTTTTTTTGGCACAGTTTTATCTTACAAAAAACCCCTACCTGGTATTTGAGCATATCCACATTGTAATAGGTGGCTTGCGGTTTCTGTTCCGATACCTTCTTTAGGTGAGTCATCAGATTTGGCATGTTGACCCAGAACTCCTTTGAGTTGGTGTCACTCTGCACACTGTCACTGCAGAGAGAGAGAGTTAACCCTTTACAGAACCTGCCTTGGCAGGAGAAAGCTGTTCTACAAAGCACATGGGACAGCAGCCACCAGCTGTGAGTGACTGCACTCAATCCCACATCTGTGGGAATACTGGCTGCCTCCCACACATCTTCGGCTTGTCCTCAGCTGCCTCCAGGGAGGCACAGCAGATGTAACCCACAGGTCACCTCATTTTGCAAAGAGGAGGTTTAATGAGCAGAGCAAAGGACAAACAAAGCACTTGGCTCCTCACTGCTGGTGCTCTTCTACCTGGCATGGGGCTGTGTGTTTTTATAAAGCCCCCTAGTTTTCTGGAAAGCTGCCTTCATTTGGGACGCTGGCAAGGTGGGTCCTTACCAGCAGAGGAGCTGGGGGTTTGGCAGGACATGCTCCAGCCTGTTGTAGTTCAGCACACGGAAGGTGAGCACCGCCGGAGAGGGGTTGTTGGCAAAGTGTCGGGTGATGCCTGCTGGAAATGACAGCACCATCTCCCCTGTAATCTTCACGATACACCTGCAGTGCCAGACACAGAGACAGAGGGGCAGGAAAGGGAGGCTCAAAATGGAGCAGGAGGGGAGGGCTTGCACCAGGGATGGTGGTGACAGCCCCCCAGTTCCCACCCCAGGTAATGACACTGTTGCGTTCTCAGAGTGAGCAGAAGCAGCACAAAGGCTGACAGCCTGCCAGGGACAATAGTCATGGGGCACCGCAGGAGTGTCCTGATGGTGGACCACCACCTGGTGCAGTGCAGTGACACCCCAACGTGCACATGCTGAGCCCAGAGCACCTCCTGTCCTCCCTCCCAAACCCTCAGGATGCACCCCAAGCCTGTCGCAATCCCAGAACCCCCATATCAACATTCAGACCCCACTGGTAAGCACCTACTTGTTGGGGTCGGCCCCTTTGAAATACGCATTGACTGTTTCTGTGAAGGCGGCAGCGACAGGCAGGGTGTCCTGTGCCCCCATGGTGAGGGGGCTGGGCCCCCGTGATGACCCTGCAACAGAGCAGACACCCCCACTTGGGACCACAGAGATGAACAGCCCCGCTCTCCCCAGCCCGGGGCGAGGGGGTACTCACCAGGAACCCCAGCCTAACTTCATGGGCAAATAATAACAAAAAATCCCCCAGGCTTTGGATGAGGCTTTAAAATGGTTTTAAGTTATCTTTCCCTCCCCCTCCAAAAGCAAGCAAAGAAAATGATGGAGGAGCCCCAGGCAGGAGCAGCATGCGGGGCCGTGGCCCCCCCGGCGCGGGGGCTGCCACACGGCAGGCTTTGCATGACAGTTTTTGCAGTTGGTCTCTGAGCCCCAGAAAAAGGGGCTGGGTGGGTTCATTGTCTCGTCACCGGAGAGCTCAGGCTGCCCATGGGAAAGTGGGGTGTCAGCAGTCTCATGATGCCTGAACCCCAACCTGTGGAGACTCTTGCAATCCCCTCTCCTCTCCTGCCCAGTGAGCCAAGAGGACCCCCACTCGCTGCTCACCCCACAGTACCCCACAGAAAATCTGCAAATCATCAAAAATCTGAAACTACAGAGGCACAGGTTGGCCAGCGTAGTTGTGTCTGCCCATCCATGGAAGTGTTCAAGGCCCGGATGGATGGGCTTGGAGCAACCTGGTCTAGTGGAAGGTGTCCCTGCCCATGGCAGGGGGTGGAGCAAGATGCACTTTGAGGTCCCTGACATCCCAAACCATTCTAGGATTCCATGATTAAAATAAAGGGGAAAAGTTTGCTTTGGTCATGCTGTGCATCCATGGACACCCGCCAGACTCTAAAATAATTAGCCCTGCAGGATCACTCGCAGGTTTCCCTTTGCTAGCCAGGAATTCTTGTCTCCAAAAGAATTTGAGGATGAAATCTTCACTGCAAGTGCACCTCAGAAGCCCCAAGTGTGCTGGAAACCCTGCATGGGGGACAACATCCTGCCCCCTGTGCCCACCACCAGGGGAGTCTAAGGTGCTTTTGGCACAGCAAAGTCATCACCTCTTCCCCATGGAAAGTGTCCAAAGATCGGCCCAGGGTTAGTGTCAGGTCACCTACCCAATGTACAAGGTGCAAAACCCGTGGACACCCAAAAAATCCTGGAGAGGTCACATTCCTGCCCTGGCACTGGTGGCTCAGCCTCATCTATTTCCTGCAATGCACTGTTTTGGGACCTTTTTGTTTACATCACATTCTGTACATCAGGTTAAGCATGAGGATTATTCTGCCCCAAATCAGGAATGACAAAGGTCTCCAGAGGGGCACCTTACCCAGGGACCACAACACCCCTCACTCCGTCACCTTCATCGCCAGGGTCTGAGTCAGGCAGGTGAAAGGGGCGATGAATCCAGCCTGGAGTTTGTTTGGAACATGCAAGCACGTGCCAGCTCCAGCCAAAGCTGCAGGAATTCCAATGCCAGCCCGGGAAAGGGCAGCACCTCCACAGGCAGCAGGGCCAGGGGAAAGCAAAGCGAAATGTGGCATGTTCCTGATGAGCTCCTGCTCTTCTGCTTGGACTATCCTCCAAAATTATCCCTCCCCTTCTTTATCTGCGAGTAAATAACAGGGTTTGGGTGAAGGAAATTGGGGTTCATAACATCTCCTGGGGAAAGCACTTCCATTACTTCAATCACACTTTGAGTTTTGATATATTAATTGAAAAAATTGTGATATTTGCCAACAAGGAGGATTCCTAACACCTTACCCAGGCACCCATGCGTTAATGGATAAACTCCAAGTGCTCTCTCCTAGAGGAACAGATGAGCCCTTCCAGTGATGGGGTTTTCCCTTCAAATCTCTAATGTAGCCTAAAAGGGTGTAAAAAATTCATGTAGCCATGTCTACCTCAGTCATGCATCTTAAGAGGCTCAGGGGAATAAGTGATTCCAGTTGCAGCCCAGAATGAGGATAATCAGGAATGGTATCTGAGTGTCCCACCACATGGGATGGGCAGCCGGAGCATCTCATCCACACACAACAGACCCATCACCACACACACATTAATTATCCTAATAAGCCCAGTGGGGCAGCCTGTGGCTCCCCAAGCCTTCTGCTCCTGGGGCCACAGCCCCGAGCTATCCATTAGGATGAACATCCTGTTGAAGAGTGGCCATGCCAGTGCCAGCCATGTGTGAGAGCATGGGCAGCTCCCCAAACCCATGGGACACACTGATTTCCTGTGACAGAGGGAACATGCAGCAGCAGCACCATGGACTGCTGGGGTAACATATTTTAGATAAATTCTTTCCATAATACCACCGTTGGGTGATTCTTGCTCCCCACACCTTCAGCAATGACCCCCAGCCAAACCCAGTAGGATATTCCCATCACATCCACCCAGAAATACAGATGGGATTCAAAAGTGTCAGTGCAGGCTGGTTATGGAGGGGGAAAACTGGAGGTGACACCCAGCAGAGGAGCATCAGGCTTGTCTCATAGGGAGGGTGAGAAGAAGGGCTTTAGCTGCCCACATGCAATCCCTAGCAATATAATCTTTATTCCTTGGGAGAGGACTAAAACCACCTCATAGTGGCAGCTGAGTCTAGCCTGGACCCTGCACCAGAGCATGGAATGAGGGGTAGGTGTCCCTCATACCAATGCGCCTTTTCCCTGATTTCCCATCTCTTTTTCCCCATGTTCCTCTGCACATATATAAGATTCCTTTATTCTCCAGAATGAAAAATCATCTCTGCAGGAATAAACAGGCTGGTCTCATAGACCCCCATTACCAGGCTCAGCCAGGCTGTGGGAATCTGAGTTCACCTGAGCAGCAACTGCAACAAAACATCCTCATTTCCAATCCAGCTTTGAATAAAAATCATGTGGATGGAATTGAGGTTCTTGATTCCCTCCACTTTCTTCATGAACCTGCATATTCTTCTCTTAATGGCTTCAGAGAATAAATAACCTTTTACACTAAGGTTTTTACTAAAAAAGAAAAGTATAATCTATTTTAAGCAATAACATGATTTTCCAGAAACATGAGACAAGTCCAGTTACCATGGCACACGTCCACCCAAAACCTGGCTTTTCAGTGACTGATTCAAAAGTAATTTTTAGAAACTTTTCATTTGGGCAAATGACCTGATAGTAGTGGAGGAAAAAACCCAAATCCATTTTATAGAGCTTTGAATCCAGTCATAAGCAGCAAACTAGGTTTATTTGCCTTATTTTTCCCTACACAAAAGTAGAAAATACAGCTGTGGAATAAGGAGACATGAGTGACAGCAATCCTGGCCAGGAGAGCATCACCAAATCTTTTCACACACGAATAAATTACCCCATGTTCAGCAAACCAATGGATCTTGTCACAAAAAACCCTCAAAATTCAGAAAGAAACTACCATGAGTCTTCTGGCCTTCCATGTCCTGAGAGTTTCAGATTGCAAACACAAAAGGTCTCCTCTCACTTCCCTGCAGATGAGCATTGAAGTTCGGGGGTTTTTTAAAAGTTGGACATAAAGATTTGGAAATAAATCAGGAAATACAGTGTGTGGAAGTGAGATAACTCCTTTCTGGAACATGAGCTGAGCCCGGAGGCAGTGCTGTACTCCTGCAGCCCTGCTGCTGTGCTGGCATTCCCAGGACAAACCCACTCCCTTCTCCACACCATTCACACTGGTAGAACCAAGTCAAAGAATTCCAATAACTTCAATACTCAAAACCACAAGAAAACCCCCAAGAGGTGGATGTGCTCGCAGGGCTGGTGCTGGACTGAGCGAGGGGAGGAGGAAGCACAGAGCAGGGGGATGCGCAGTGCTGGAATACTTGTGCTGAGGGATAACGCTGTCCCTGCTGTCCTCAGCTCTTTCTGGAGCTCTGGACAGGCAGGTGGCACCTGGGAAACCCAGGAAGGCTTTTTTGCTGGGAACAGCAAAACGGCAATGAGCATCAGGAAGAAGCAGCTCCCCCTGGATCTAAGCTGGGAGCTGCTGTTGGAGTTAGGACTGTCAAAGCAGGGACTGTTGGAGCAGGGACCTTGGGCCAAGAAAAAGGGAGGAAAGGAAGGAACCAACTCCCTGGTCAATGCCACCTCAATCCCTGCCTTCTGCTGCTGCTACTCCATCACTCTCACCAGGATGGGCTTTGCTCCGTGATTCCAAGCCCATCCTCAGTGGCCTGGCAGTGCCATCCCAGGCCACTTGGCATTTTTCTGGAATGGACACACTTTGGGAATCACATGTGGAAACAGTGCTCTGGCATGTCCTGTGCCAACAGCATCCTCCACTTACCCCAGTCCTGCCTGCAAGCACTACAACAGCTCCAAACTGCTTGCCTGCGATTAAAAGTACCTATCCCTGCTGCAAGCAAACCTCCTGCTTTTATTTCTGTTTTTAAAAAGCAAAATGTTGCCTCAGTGCCTGTGAGATGAGGCTTCCCCCAAAGCCTTGGCGCTCTCAGAGTGGGACTGGCTGCCCAGCCACCCACAGCTCTGCCCTACCTGAGAGCTGATGCTGCTTGGAGAACAAGCAACCAGTTTTTCCCTTCGCTGCATCCTTCTCATCCACGGGGGACCCCAGAACCCCCAAGACCTTCAAGCAGCCACCCCAGCAGCACAACCTGCTGGTGCTTCAGCTCCCAACCCTTCACTGCCAAAAAACCTGGTGGGAGGTGGGGAGGAGGCCCCAGCTTGGCAGAGAACCCATCATCCTTTGGATGTTAATTAACAGCACGTGGCCCAGCCCACTCAGGGTAAAGGCAGCTCATGAGGGAGAGTAGAGAGAAGCTCTGGTTGACAGAGTCAAGTTCCTCGGCAGTGCAAGCGGTTCCGCTCTCTGGTTTTCACTGCAGCCTCCGTATGGGAATATTCAGAATGTTCTTTTGGGTCTTGCTTTGTTTGGGTTGGATTTTTTTAGAAAATAAATAAATGAGGAAAGAGATCACGGGGACAAATGGCACAAATCAAATCAAAATTGTTCTGGTTGAACTTGTGATGTCATCTAAGTAGCCATAGCATTTCGCATGGAAAGTCGGACTGGATGGAGCCTTGGGAGGGAACCCCGGGAGTGAGAGAGCGAGAGCAGGGGGAGCGAGTCGTTACGGGGTATGCTATGCACTACTTACCTTCGAAAGTCAAATAAAACTTTCCTCTGTCAAACCAAACGAGGGAAGGCTGTTCATTCTCTGTATGGCCAGGAGTTGAAGCGGGATGGGACAGGTTAAGGAGAGGGAGAGAGAAGGACACAGTGTGAGTCACAGAGCAGGTCATTTATCTCACTACGGGGAGGGGGCGAGGCGCTGCAAGCCGTTCACGTGCAGGGACAGGGGCTTTAAACTCGGGCGTTGGCTCGGGAGACAGAAAGCAGAAAGCAAAGCTATGGAAGCCCAGATGGAAGAGTAGTTTTGCTTGGTAAGGAGTTTTGAGAGGTTTTCTCTTTTTTTGGCTACAGTAGAAGAGGCTTGTTGGCTCATGCACTCCATCAGCATGTTCTAACTGCGCTGATCTGGGCAAACATGCCGTGTCCTCCTCGCCTCCGGCGTCGTCTCCACCAGCATTCCCGGTGGGATGCTGCTCCACATGCCACACCGGTGTGCACAATCAGTGACAGTGAAATGGAGTGTTCTCTGTTGCACTTCAGGACATTACACTTGCAGATAACCAGACACACACACACAGAGCAGCAGCTCCCTAGCTGGAATCTTCCTTTTCCCATCACAACCACCAGCTCCCTGCTCTCACACTGCCTTAAAAGCCACGTTGGACTCCAAGTACTGCTGAAATAACTTGGGGTGTGTGGGGGGAAACAGCTTTTGGAGCTGTTAAATTAAGCTCTTTGAATTCAGGAGGTGACAACCTTCCACCTCAAAGTCCTTTTGGTCACTGAGAAACTGTCATGCAAGGTGATGCGAGCGGTGGGTGTCGCCCGCTCCGAAGGCGGATTGTCTGGAAAGCTCCCTGCCAGTACAGTACCTGCCGGCATTTCACTGCGCCTTTCAAACGCGGGCAGTTTGTCAATAAAAGCATCATCCTCTGATAACACAAGCAGAAGAAACGCAAAGGAAAGAAAAAAAAACAAACACAAAGAATGAGAACACGGATCCCAACTGAAACCAAGCAGCGCGTTGTATCAATGGAGAGACAGAGAGGTGATTTAACGAGAGAAATGAGGGAAGGGGCACTGACACAGGAGCAACAGCTTCTTTCTTTGCCCGAAATTATTCAGACTGACATGCAACCACGGGAAAAGCACACCAGAGCAGCACGGACGACACGGAAATGGAGCAACCCTTCACATGCTCTTGGACAAACTCCATCAGACTTTGCCACAGGAAACAGAAGACGGGGAGAGCGTTGGAGACAGACCCTGTAGTAAGCACAGGGCTGCAGGCAGCCCCAGCTGGGTTGGGTTGTCCCAGCCCTCCAGGACCCACAGTGGTCCTTGACCTACCCATCCCTGCACACCTTCCACTTCAGCTTTTCCTCTTTCCACAAAAAAAACCAGGAATCAGAAGTGCTCCCTCCTTCACTATGGATTTTCATGGATGCTCATCCAGCACCAATGCCCACCCTCGCCTTGGTGGGGACAAGGAGATGCTTGGACTTCCCCTGAGTGGGTCCCAAAACCCATCTGCTCCTGCCTGTTCCCCATCCAGCTTTTCCCAAGCCAAATCCTGGCAATGTGGCATCCGCTGCTTGATTTATGTTGGATATTAGGAAAAGATTCTTCACTCAAAGGGTGGCTGGGCACTGAAACAGGCTCCCGAGGGCAGTGGTCACAGCACCAAGGCTGCCAGAGCTCAAGAGGTGTTTGGAAAATACATGGTGGGAATGTTGGGGTGTCCTGTGCAGGACCAGGAGTTGGATTTGATGATCCTGATGGGTCCCTTCCAACTCGGTATATTCCAGAATTCTATGATTTAGTCTGTATGGAGCTGCAAGTGCAACAGCTGCAATCTGGGGTGCTCCTCCTGGCTGCCCCATTTGGAGTTCCCAAGTCCAGGGGTGACCCCAGAGCCCTGATTTCAGTTGTCTTGCAAGGAAAATCCCCCATGGAGAGGGCGGGAGATGCTAGTGCCACTGGGCACAGCTTCTCACCCCCCCAGCAATGTCATTCCCACTGCTCAGTGTGGGTAGGTCATTAAAAACATCAAGTAGCAGATTTTGTTCATAAAAATATATGCGTTAGAGAGAAAAAAATAAATTTATATGACAGCCTGAGGGACCTGCTCAGCTGGCAGGACCAGCGTGCATCCCCCACACATGTCCCCTTTCCCACCCTTCTGCAGCCCCCACAACCGTCCCTGTCCTCAGCCTGGTTGGTCCCCCCACCAAAACCGTGGTCCCAGGTGTCCCGTGGCCTCTGTGCCAGCAGGCACTGTGCCAATCCCACTGGCATTGTGGGGGACAGCGGGCACGAACAGGACCAACACACTGGGAATGCTCAGGGCTGGCTGCCCCTTTCTCCAGGTGTTTTATTTTCCAGCAACACGCTGTGACAGTGACCAACAGCCGGCGAACAGGTACAAGCACCTACGACACCTCGAGAGTGAAGCAAACAACAGGATGGAGACGCGGGTGAGAGACTCCAGCAAACCCACAGGGAGAGCTCAGTGCCACTGGCACCATGGGGACAGTGCCTGGCACACGGCTCAGGACACCCAGCACCTTCCAGCCATCACACGTGGTGATGCCACCACTTGTGAGGTGACAGCTGGTAACAAACGCCACAGCCAGGCCAGCGGCTGAGCACACACCAACCAGCCAGGCTGGGTTTTTGGAGGGTTGGAAAGAAAAGAAAAAGGAGGAAGGAGATCCTGGAGAAGATGGAGCTGCAGGAAGCAAGGAACAGTAGGGCTGGCAGCCAGGTGGGATGGCAGTGATGGCAGAAGACGGAGTGCCAGCAGCCGGGATGGAAGGGAGGTGGGGACAGAGGGAATGGAGGAGGGAGGCACAGGGGGACCCAGCGCCTGGAGCCTGGGAGCTGCCAGCCAGACTTTATTCCCATTGCTTGTCTCAAGCACCCGGGGGGGTTGGCAAACCCCATGTTTTTCAGGACATTCCTCCAAAAGAAAACTGGAGCACTTTGTTCTGCCTTAGGACGTGCCAAGCTAAATGGTTTGGAAGAGCCTTTTCCAAGACCCCATTTCCCACTACCACTTTAAAGGAAAGTGCAAAATTAAGACATTCAAAAAGATTTAAAATTGTCTCCCAGATTCCAAGGTCTGGCTTCAAGCCCCCCTCCCCGCACAAACATCTCCTGCAAAAAAACCTTATTTTGCCCAAATTTACAGACCACAAACGCATTTTATGATATATTTCCCTTGGTGATAACCTTGACTTCCATCAAACATCCATTTTCCACAACATTTGGAGCTGCCCCAAAGCTTGCCTGACAGCATCACCCTCCTGATGCATCATGCCCCCTCAAATCCCTTTTTGTACTTAAAAAACCTGATGAAAAGTAATTAATGTGAACCCAAAGAATAATCTAGCAAATCAAAAGGCTTCAAGAATCATTTAAGAACATTTAGAGGTAGGAAAGGTGAAAGAACAGCAGAGCTGTATGTTTTTACCAACGGTGGGAGTGGTGGCTGCACTCAGGGAATTGGTGGAAGATATGGAAGAAGTACTTTCAGCACGGGCTAAAGGTGCTATCGGAGGAGGGCTGGATGAGTGGATAGGAGGGCTAAAAGGCCTGGACTGTAGAAAAACATAAAATAACACAAGGTTAAAGAAAACACAAACAAATTTATATCAAACAAACAAGCTTTTCCCTGAAGCCGTAAATCTCAGGAACTCCAGTCAGCTGCTCTGCTGGCATCCCAGAAGAGTAAAGGGAATGACTTCAGTTCTTTAGTGCTAAGACCTGGAAAAATGACAGGTGATTCCCACCATCACGTGGGTCTGGGTGTTTGAAGTTCCCATCCATGCTGAGGATGGGACCTCCAGAGGTAGCACAGGTCTGGACAGTGCACTGTCCACAGGATGGAATGCACTTAGCGTTGGGAAGGGAAGCGGTGCCCACCACGTGCCATCTCACCAGGGAGCAGCTTATCGGGTCCTTACGGGTCCTTTAGGGATGATTTTTTATCCAAACCATGAATCCAAAAACTCTCCCAACCTACCTGAAGCAGCCTGGAGTGGTAGGACAGAATGTTGCAGCCCAGATGGCACAGTGGTGAACACCCCACTTAAGATTGTGCGCAGTCCCACCAAAGATTGCTGCATCCCCCTGAGCCAGCTACCATTCCCAGGACAGCTGGATCCACACTGCTTTATCCCCAAACCCTTCCCACTCCTGCCCCACCCCATTCTCTGCCTTTTGTCATGACTGCAGGCCATGGTTTCCCTGCGTTTGGCATTACCAGGCTAGATTACCTGATAACCATGAGTGTGATAACCAGATATGTAATATGGACAACCAGAGGCAGTTACAGCCCTTCCCAGGTGGAATTTACCTCAATGGACAAATCCTAGAAAACCCCAAACTGCCCTGGCAGCCCCCACCAGTCACTTGCTCCGTTATCGGTGTCAGGACTGGGAATGCCACCCACCGCCCCCCGCTCCCTCCCAACGTACCACGTCAGCGACGGGGGGCTTGCCGGGGGGCAGCTTGGGCCGGGAGGGGGGCCGGGGGGGCGGTGGCGGGGGGGTGCCACAGGTGGCCAGTGGCGTTCCAGGGCGAGCCGGCGATGAGGAACCTGCAACAAACGGGAGCCGTGAGCACCGCACAGACAGTGCCCCCAGCGCTGCCCACCCCAGATCCCCCACCCACCCTGGGGTGCCCATGCACACCCCACACAGCTCCCCGTGACCACAGCCCCACACCAGGGCACAGAGCATTCCAGGATTGCTGATGCTGAAGAATTCCTCACAGGGGCTGCCCAATATCCCGCTCCCTCAGCCAGGGAGCTTTGGGCAAAATTGTTATCAGAGGAGACTTATGGCTTTCCCAAAAAACAGATGTAGGCAGGAGGAATATGGTGCTGAAGCCCTGCAGCAGCTGGTGCTGGTGCCACAGCTCTGGGGCTGGCACAACTGGAGAACAGGATGGGTATTAGGGGCAAAGCCTTGTCCCAGCAAGAGGGGAGAGGGCAGAACAGGAAGGTTATGAGTTTTGCTGGGAGTGTAACATCTCCCAACCCTCTGGAAGAGTCTTGCAGAACAAGTGGTGTTGATCTCAGGGTTCACGTGGTCCCCAGCGGTTGCTGTCCTGCTGTGTAGGGGAAGTTTTGTAATCAGATGGAAATTTTGACCAGTGCTTTACAGAATATCCAGGAGACTTTTGCTCCATGCACAGAAACTCCTTCCCGAAGAAGTTCAGCAATAACTGGTGTTGTACAGAGCAGTCAGAGATGGCACCGTGACATTAGGGGCACAAGGAGTGGGAGGAAATTCAGACCCCATTCCCAGGACAACTGACACAGCCTTTGCCACTAGTCTCCATGGAGTTCAGCAGCTCCATGCTTGGCTCAGATTGATGATAAGACAAGGACTTTGACTTTATTTTTCCAACTTACAAGAGAATAATTTCCTACAGTTTTTGGGTGATAGTTCAGATTAAGGAAAGACCAAAGCTAGATCTATAGAAATGAGACCAGGAGGTAAAGGAGAGCAGGCTAAGCCAAGAGAGGGGCTTGTTTAAGTGGAGGAAATTCCAGCCATTCCTTGGCACAACTCCAAAGTACAAGGCATTTTTAATTAAAAGCCTAATTTGGGAACCAGAGTCTGAATTTTTCCTTACTTATCCCAATAAAAGCCTGACAAAATAGAAATGATTCAGGGAAAGTAGCCTTGCAACACCGAATGAGTGTGGCAGGATGGAGCCTTTGAGGGAGTGTTCTGTGACCACCAGGTAGCCAAAGCCCTGCCAGACATTGGCTTCCATCCCAGAATAGATATTTCCTGCCACAAGAAACCGTGGCAGTGTGTGGAAATAAGCACGAGATCAGAAGCTTGCTGGGATGCTGGGCTTGGGACAACTTGGTCTGGTGGAAGGTGTCCCTGCCCATGGCAAGGGGTTGGAATGAGACGAGCTTTGAGATCCCTTCCAACCCAAACCATTCCATGATGACTCTACATCCATCCCCAGCCCTGATTCAGTGACACCCACAAGCTCAGGCTCCCATGGGATGTGAAGGCAGGAGGGCATCCTGGGATGGCTCTACTCCACAGCATCCAAAAACTGGACAGGTCTAGGACCAAATGCAGCACCAGGGGCCTTGGAAAGGTGGAGAGGAGTGTGAGGGATGCTGGATCCACCTGCCAGGGGATGTAGCTTTTGGAATATTTGCACAATTTTTCTGTGGGTATGTTAACACTTTGCATTTTCCAGCTTGCTGCACTGGGGAAGGCTGAGGTGACAGTGGGATGCAAAGCAGTCCAGACTGAGAGAGGAGGCAATTCCTGAAGAAGAGACATGGATCTTCTTGGACACACAGCTCCTCCATCCATCCATACCTACATGGGGAGCCCTGGCATGTCCCCATCCTGTGGCTCTTCACTCCCACAAGGCAGCTACTCAGTTGGCATGAGGTTGGAGAGCATGGTGGAAGAATCTTGCTGTTTTCTGCTGCCAAACTCCAGGAGAAGTCCCAGCTCCAACCACTGCCACTAGCAGCCCCCACATGGACTCCCACCCTCCCAGCACAGAAAAGCCACCACCACTGAAGCAAAGCCACATTTGCAGCACCAGCCTCACATGGTAGGACACCCCCAGCAGCCCCTCCACAACCCTTCCATGGAGGTGACAACCCAGAGGAATGACACTGCTTCCAAGAGGCTGGTGACACATGCTGGGGCACAGGTCTGGGGGTTGCACCCCTCACCTCCCCCACCTGGGTGGAGGTTCTTCAGGGCCCTGAGGGGGTAATTCTCTCAAAAATAACTTCTGGTGGATGCAGGATGGCAGCACAGGTGTCCAGTAAGTACCCTTGGGGGTCAGCCCCTAAAATAACAGGCTCAGGTTGCACCCCCCTCAAGCACCCTCAGGAAGTGTGTGTAAGTTGACCTCCACCCACCTCATTTACCCTAATGGGCACTGACATTTATAATTAATAATAATTTATAATTAAGCAGGCAGCCAGCACATGCCAGACAGACCAATCAGGTTCTGCCCTGGGAGAGGCTCACCCTGGAAGACATTTCTCCTGGCTCTTCACACTCAGAGCCAAAAAGGACCAAGCACTGTCCAGACCTGTGCTACCTCTGAGCTGGGTGAGTGACAGTGTGTGGTGACCTGTCTGCAACAGATTTAAAGGACCCTGGAGCTGAGGCTTGCTCAGATTATTTGCCTGAAATGTTTCTGACTATATTTACTCAAACCTACTGAAGGACAGAGCTGCAGCAATGGCAACCCCATCCCAAATTCCGTGCACGGCAGAGGTGGGAAGGGCGGCTCTCAGGAGCTTTGGGGAAAGATCATCAGCCCCATCCCACCACGAGACACGCAGCGAGGAGCAGGGGGAGGACACAGGAGGCGGAGGGCAGACGACGGACGTGGAAGCACGAGACGGGCCCGGGCGCAGGCACAGCCAGGCGGGAGGGGACGCCGGAGGCGCTCAGGGCCCCCCCGAAGCACAGCCACGGCCGCGGGACGTACCGCTGGTGCTGCCCGTGCTGGCGCCCGGTCCGGGGGACGAGACCACCGTGCGGTAGGTGGGCGGCGGAGGGGGCGGCGGGGTCGCTCTCTGTCCCGGCCCAAAATCTTTGGGAGAGGCCACCGGCTCCACGTTCTCATCCTTCAGGTGCTCAGAAACCTTCTTGTGAACCTCCTCCAGGTGCAGCGGCGAGGGCAGCGGGCGGGAGGGCTCCGCCGCGGGAGCATTGGCTGGACCGGCCGCTGCCGCCGGCGGGGATCCCGCTTTTTCCCGGGGCGTCAACTCCGGAGCCGCGTTTTCCGGGGATTGATCAGAAAAATTGACCCACTTGTCTTCTGCGTTTGCAGCAGCAGATTTGGGGGACGGCACGGGGCCAAAAATGCTGTCCAAGTCATTGATGGACGGGAGTTTGTCCCTTTTGGGCTCTGCTGCTGCCTGGTCCCCTCCTGTGGTCAGAGGAGGTTATTTTACACTTGGCATTAAGCGAGGGCTGCACTACTCTCTACGGGCTCTATGCCAGCTACTTCTAGAGGAGATGCTCTAAAAACGTGGTTTCTTATAAGCTGCTGGGGAATATAATTCATGTGCAACAAAGTTCTACATCAGGCCATGTGCAACATATAATGAACCACACTGGGTCGAAAGGCTGAATGAGTAAACATGCACCATGAGCCAAGCCCTGCTCCTCCATCACTCACATCTAACAGTACTATATCATCCCAAAAGTTACAGCCTTTACATGTCCTCTAAATGACAGCATGTCCTTACCATCACTCTGGGTTATCAGCAGATATTAAACTTATGCACTCAGCACTCTGGCACACCCCACACTATATATATATATTTATAAACACACACGTATAAATATATATACTTGAACATGCTGGTTTGCAGCACAGGATGCAGACAGGGTGAATGTACTTCAGTCACAAGCAGCAGCAGATCAGGGGATTTCAATCGAGCCACCACACACCAACATTCCCATCTGACTCCATAACCAACACAGAGACGATCCATCAGCCAAGCGTTACATATCCAGGGAAAGGACATCCTAAAACTAATGTGCCCTCTGGGCTCCTTGTGTCAGCATCACCCCACCTCTGCTCCAGTGTTTGGGGGAGCCATCTGCTGTTCTACATTTGGGATAAAATAGAATTTTTCTCAGACAGACAATGTAGACCTCAGCCTCTTGCTTTACATGATGCACAGGGCAGAGCCCAGCAAATGGCCTGACACACATGGCTGGGCTTGACATTTGCTCCTGTGGATGAGTCAATGTATGGAAATGGACACTCTGCCAGCCTGGCTGCTCCAATAAATAGGAAAAAATCAAGATATGGGAGCATGAATGAGATGTTGATGGATAGAGCAGTGAGGTCAGAGCAGGGGATTTCTTCATGGCAAGGTAATTTCATCCCAAGGTGCTCTGTCTGTCCCCATGGAGTGCCCTATCCAAAGGCCAGGCACTGTATCCCCTCCTCAAATCCTGCTGCTCCATCAGACAGCACCCTGCCAGCACCATGAATTATATACTTATAAGCACTTTATGTTTTCTGGCTGCAACCAACCCCTTTCCCTCCCTGTCCTCAGGTTGTCCTTCATTCCCAGCACCATTCCATTCTCTCTTCTCTAGCCCAGGCTGTGAGACCAGGAGGGGCTTTTCCCACATTCCCTGGCAGCAGTAGGAATCTGGGGGACAGGGAGTGCAGGAGCAGCTCCCTGACACAGGCAGACACTGCCCTGTTATTCCATAAGCACAGACCTCTCAGGGCTGCTTCAGGCAGTAACAGGGTTCTATATATTCCCAATTTTGAGCAGGATATTAAGGCTTATGCTGCATTGCATTTCCAGAGTGACTGATCCCAAAGTCAGGGAGGGTGGAGAAAACATTAATTTCACCAGGATGACACAAACCTGGGGGACAAAGGCATCTTTGTGCTGCTTCTACAGCATCACCCCAACTCCACAAAGCTGTGGCTGCCCCATCTCTGGAAGTGTTCAAGGCCAGGTTGGACAGGGTTTGGAGCAACCTGCTCTAGTGGAAGGTGTCCCTGCCCATGGCAGGGGCTGGAACAAGATGAACTTTAAGGTCCCTTCCAACCTAAATCAGTCTGAAATTCTACAAATGCAAAGGGAAGAGGATGCACAAGGACCAAATCTGTGTCTCAAACGCAGCCATGGGGAACAACCTCCCACCCAGTGCCACCCCTGGAGGCTCTAGATCAGTCTCCCAGGACTGTGCCCTGGCACACACTGAGCTTTACCTATTCCCACAGGCAGGGGGGAGCTGGTGCGCGGCGGCGTGGCCGGGATGTTCTTCGGTGGGAGCGGTGGAGGAGCTGCAAGAGAGCAGAGAGGGGAATAAATTCAGTTACAGTGTCTTAGGAAACACAGCTTTACTGGGAATGGGGGATATGACAGTGATGAGGTTGCTCCAAGCCCCATCCAACCTGGCCTTGGACACTTCCAGGGATGGGGCAGCCACAGCTTCTCTGGGCAACCTGTGCCAGGGCCTCACCACACTCAGAGGGAACAATATCTTCCCGATATCCCATCTATCTCTGCCCTCTGTCAGTGTAATGCCATTTTTACTGGGTTTTATAGATTTTATTTCCCCCATTTTTAATTCTCAGACTGTACTCACACATTTTAAACTCCTGAATTACCATTTTAATTAAACCTGTAGCCTCTGAGGCACAGATCTGCCTCCGTGTTTCTCATGTGCCCATCCCACACGGAGCCAGGATGCACACAGGGGAGCAGGAACACTGTGGCTAATTAACAGTGGCTAATTGACCAGTACTGCTTTACAGAGGCATTTTTGCCAAGCAGTTGCAAATCAGATTCAAGGCCAAACCTCCTGGAGGAGCAGCCCATGAGGTACTGTGGTTTCCATCATCAGTGTCGCAGTCCCCTTGGAAGGTGGAGATGTGCCCAGAGGTTGCCTTGACCTTGGCACATCAGCACCAGGGCCAGGGGTGGGTTTGGCATGAAATCCATTGGGCTCATGGCTGATGAGGGGGGAAGAGGAGTAGGAAAAGGAGGAAAAAATGACTTTGCAGTTTGGGAGGAGGAAAAGTTGCAGTTCCCCAGCTGCCTCAGGCAGTGGGGAAAGCTGCAATAAAAATCAGGGATTTGGGGTTGTGCTGATCTTCCATATGTTATCCCAGAGAAAAAACCCGGTGTTTCCAACCTCTCCAGCCAGATCATTAACATGCATGATCTGGTATTCCTGGCCTCTGAAGGCAGCATGGCTTTTACCATAGGTTTCAAGCATGACATTTGTCCTGGCTGGAGAGGTTTCACCTTGGAAACCCAGCTCTCATGACAGCAGCACATATCTCAAGGGAAGATGTGCATAACCACTCATACCCTGAATACTGTCCATCCCATCCCTCACCCAATCCCATTCCTTCCTCCATCCTATAGCACTGCAGCTCAAGTCAAGTCAGGGGAAAAAAACCCCTCAAACATAAAATGTTATGGAATCGCACAGTCTAGATGAGGAAAAGTCAAATATTTGTCCTGATTTCTGTATATATTATTTTTTTGATTGATAACCTGCACAATCACTTACTTCCAGTTGGAAAAGGTCTCGGAAGTTTCGGGGACTCTACACTTGTGTTGATGGGCTGGACTGAACCCCAGATCTCAGGCTGATCTAGAGCAGCTGAAAAATAAAAAATAAATAAATAAATAAACCTTTTAAAGCAATGAGAAAACCAACCATCTTCTTCCGAACACCAAAACACCTTCATCTGAGGCTTCAGAAAAGAGGAACCAAACAGTGACACAAATCTCTCATTAATTAAAGACAGAGGGGTCTATAATGGTTAATAATTAAAAGCTTGCCTGATTTTGAAACGGGACACGCAATTAGTTTGACACTCATGCTGCTTGACAAACAAAACAATGCCATTGATGGATTTGGAGGCTTATTACATGAAGGGAAACATTGTATTAATTGCAAAAATTGTCTGACATTTTAGGGTATGCAAAAAAACCCATCAGGTATTAAAATGAAAAGATACAAATATATTCACAGAGGTTGAAGGGGAAAAAAATTTCTATGTAAATTAAATTTATTGCACTTCTTGGAGGGTCTGTGTGCAGAAAACTGCAAGTAAACATAGCTTTGATTAAAAGAATTAACTGGAGTCGTTAATGACAAGACATAACGAGGCTACAAGGGCAGTGGCCATTCCCTGGGAGCAGAGTCTGCCGGCTCTGGGAGAAGGAGGAGGAGATCTCTCTGGGAACAACCTGCTCCAGAGGGTGAATGGGGTTGTTCTTTGAGGAAAACAAGCCTTGCAAGATCACTGCACTTTGGGAAAGCTGGGAAAAGTCAAGCCTGGGGAGGAGCAAAGTGTCTCTATGCCAAGCAAACACTGGTTTTGGGGAAAAAAATGACATTATTGAAATAGCATCTTCCTGAGACTGGAGGCATTGTCAAACAGCTCCATCCAGCATCCTGCTATTTCACTAAAGGCAGATCTGAGGTGTTGGGGTGGTGTTAAACTCCCTCCCCCCCCCCCCACTCTGGGGAGCATCAAGGGGCTTGGTATAACCATGGTTTGATTTGAGAGTCAATAATTTTGATATTCATTAGCTGTTCCCTGTCAGGATCTGTCCCAGACCACATAATTAACTAATTGACTTAAACACTTGCTCTGTTTCTATCTAACCCGTATTAACCCCAGACTGGAAACCCTGTCACCTGCCCTTCGCCTTCAGCTTTAGCTTTGTCTTTTTCCTTCTTTAAGAGGAGGGTTAGGAACCTGATCAGGGAATTGGTTAGGAACCTGATCAGGGAATTGCTTAGGTCGGAAAAGCTCTCTGAGAACATCAAGTCCCATCCAGCATGTTCCCAAGTGCCACATCCACATGGTTTTTAAATCCCTCCACTACTGCCCCGGGCAGCTGTGCCAGGGCTGGACAACCCTCTCCATCAAGAAATTTTCCCCAATATCAAACCTAAACTTCCTTGGGCACAACTTGAGATTATTTCCTCTTGTCCTATCACTGCCCTGCTTGCTGGCAGAGTTGGAGTTGGATGCTGCCAGCTGTCCCCAGGGCACTGCCAGAAGATGCCACCCATGTCCCCAGCCCACCGTCCAGCTTCTGCTCCTCAAACGCCGACTCCAAGGGGGGCCCGAAGAGTGGAGCCAGTGCAGCAGGATCCTCCCCTGTTTTCTTGCTGCAGGATGAGACAAGCACAGAGGAGCCATGAGGATCAGGTTTGTGCTCAAACCCAGAGTTTGTAGCAAATACAAATATTTTCAGGGAGTGTTTACATTTCAGACTAACAAGGACCTGGGCAAACACGGGGGTTTGGGCAGTGAAAAGGGAAGGACAGTGGTAGCACTGGCTATAGCACTGTGGTGCCAACCCTGTAGTGTCAGAGCAGCTGCTGGGACAGTTCAAGTTGGTTCAAGATTAGTCAAAACTGCATGGGAAAGGATTAATAAAAATAGTCAAGGGTCTGGACCACACTCTGGTCCAACACACCTTGAGTCGAGCCCTGCAGCTACCTGGGGCACATTCACAGTGACACTTGGCTTTACTCCATATAAACTTGTGTGTTTGCTTTTCTAGATCGATATATCCCCCCAGCACAACGTTTGTCAGCTCTCCCTATTGATCAGGCTCAAGGTGGCTTCCAGGAGTGGATGTCCTTGCTGCTCTTGTAGGAGCACAAGGATGGATACTGTGCATCTGAAAGTGGGGGTGCCGCTACCATCACAGCCTCTCAATTCTGCCAGAATCATAGGCTGGTTTGGATTGGGAGGACCTTAAAGCCCATCCCATTCCACTCCCTGCCATGGGCAGGGACATATTCCACTAGAACAGGTTGCTCCAAGCCCTATCCAACCCAGCTTTGGACACCTCTGGGGATGAGGCAGCCACAGCTTCTCTGGGAAACCTGTGCCAGGGCCTCACCACCCTCACAGGGAATAATTCCTTCCCACTATCCCATCTACCACTGCCCTCTGGCAGTGTGAAGCCATTCCCCCTTGTCCCGTCATTCCTTGTCAAAGTCCCTCTCCAGCTCTCCTGGAGCCTCTGTAGGCACTGGAAGGTGCTTTAAGGTCTCTCTGGATCCTTATCTTCTCCAGAATCCAACAAAGAGCCCATGGACCCAACTCTACCTGTGCCTGCTGCATCCTGCATTTTCTCACTGTATTTAAAGCCAAACACAGATGTTCAGCTATCTGAGGAGCCTAAAAGGCTATAAAAGTGATGTTGCTGCAGTGGTGCCTTTGATGAGCCAAACTGGAGCAGCTCAGCTCACTGATGGGTTGGTAATAGTTGTAGGGTAACAAACACCCAGTGAATTTGCTCTTTATTCTGGGTTTGCCCTACCTTGATATAAGTGATAAAGGATCAAAACCTGGAGGAGAACACATTCAGCACAGTGTAAATGTTCACCTGCCCATGGAATGCTCAAAACCCACATTGGGATGATGTGCCTGGACATGGATGCGTTGGATAATCCCACTGAGGGGCTCTGTACTGACCTGGCAGGGTCTGGTGTTGGTGTGGAGCGCCGGGGCCGTGTGATCTCCTCACCTGTGGCACAGGACAGACAGCACAGGGTGAGAGTCATTCCCTGCCCACTCCTCCCAGACCCTGTGCTGGCAGGAGGGCTCATACCCAGTGTGCCATCAGCATGGCACACATCCCACCCCAGCAAAGAACCTGCTTTTTAATTTAGATTTATTTCTGTAGAGCAGTGAACTAGGGAGCTGCACTGCTATAGCACACTATACTCCCTGTAGTACACTCCAGGTACCCCAAGAATGTCCTACATGGTATTTTAAGGAAAACTTTTGGGTGTCATCATTTCTACCAGGACTACATTAAAGTAAACCTTCCCCACTCCCTTGCCCTCCCCCCCAAACACCTCCACCAACTGCACTGACTGTTTTTCCAGGCTGCAGAAGATACTTACTGGATAAATTCCTTTTAATTGTCCCCTGGAAACAGAAACACAGAGGTAAGTGGGATGCACAGGAACATAGGCACATGCCAATTGTCACCCAGGAGCAAAACAGCCCAGCAGACATGGCAGGAATTGTCTAAAGTGACATTTACTGTATGTGGCTGAAATACAGAGAGCAGACAACCCTGCCAGGAGGTTTCTGAGCCACGTGAAGCCATCACTGGCAGCTCTGCCTTTGAAGACATCCCAGCTACCAGTGCCTTGGGAGGGGTCACTTACACCCTCACCCCATTAATAATGGCACAAACCCCAAATCCTTATGTTTGATAATCTGCAAATCAATCTAATAATGTATTTTAGTAATTTAAATCCTTGCTCTTGCCACATCACACACACCTCCCCACACACAATAATTTAGGTTAGAAAAGCCACGTAACATCATCGAGTTCAACCATCTCCCAGCACTGCCAAGGGCACCACTGACCCATGACCCCAAATGCCACATCCACACACCTTTTAAATCCCTTCAGGGATGGGGACCCCAGCACTGGCCTTGGGAAGCTTGTTCCAAAGCCAAATCCCCCCCATCAGAGGAATTGAAGCTGTGCAGCAGAGAGGGGAGCAGGAGCCCCACCAGAGGGGGTCAGTGGGGACATTCCAGGACCACAAGCAGGATCTCCAGAAGGTTGCAAGGATGCAGGATGAGCCTTAGAGAATACCTATCACTGAGGGCCCCTTTGCATTATCAACAGACAATGGGAGACGATCCCCTTGATCCCACCATCACCTGGGGTCACACAGCAGGGTAAGTAGTGGCACTGGCACCCAGTCCCCATTCCCTATTCCCAGCAAGCACTGACTCAGCCCCCTGCAGCACTCCCATTCCCAGGACAGGAGGAAGGGGAAAGGAGTGGGTCCTTACCGGGCTGCGCCGCTGCGGTCAGCGAGAAGGAAGAGAGAAGAGACACCTGGTCAGAGAGTGACAGGTCAGCACCCCAAGTCCCCCAGAGCCCATCATACCCCTCTGTCACTGCTGCACCGGGTGGGCTTCTCCTCCACACAGCCCCCACCACTGGAGCACAACACCCTGTGGGTCACCTGGTCACCCAGAGGTAACCCAAACCCCGGAAATTGGGTGAATTTCCCCACTTTGGGCTCGGAATAATTGGCAGCTCAGTCCTCTTGGGGAAACCAACCCCTCTGCATGCAGGAACCACAGAAGTGATGGATCACAGATGGGTTTTCTGCCTTCTCATACCTTTGAATGTGCCACAATCCACAGATAAAACAGTGCCCTTACGCATCTTGTCCAAACACCTTTCACCCAAACTACACCCCCAGACTGAACACTCAAAGCAAAGACCGCTTAGCTCTATTTTTAAATGCTCTATTTTTAAATGTTCTAAGTCAACAGTAAAGGAAATTAAACATCATTCTAGAAGGGCAGGATTTGTTATTTACATTTTCCATTTCAGCTCTAGAGATGTGCAGAACAGGCACTGTGTAATGAGAGGATGCAAGGCTGGGTTAAAGTATTAGAGATAAAGTAGAGATAAAAATTGTGTTTCTTACCGGACTTTTCCTCTAAAAGAATGCAGAAAGAGAAAAAAAAAAGAACGAGAATATAAGATATTTTCTCAAAAGGGCAACAGAGAAATTAAGGATTTGTATTATGACCAAAGCATCAGGTTAAAGACATGGCAAAGCAGAGGGTCGCAAGTGCACCAGCCAGGCTGTCACCCATCCAGCTGGGAGACTGGACAGAAGGAGAGCATATGGAAATATAAAACTTTTATCTGAGCCATCTTATAGAAGCAATTCACTTGTTTTATCACTAACAGGCCTCACTGGCTATAGGCAACAGCCATTCTCAGCCTACTTCATTCCTTGGAAGAGTCCGTGTGGGAGAAAAGTCAGAGGGGCAGAAATGGTGTTTTTAAGTGCTTAAGTTTAAGGATGTTACTCATCATCTTAAGCCAGTCACTGTTTTTCTCACAAAGTCCTTGTTCCTGGGTCTGAGTTTTCATGGAGCCAAGACCAAAGCCAGCAGGAGCAGAGATGCAGGTGGGAGTTCTGAAGCATCTGGGCTGTGCCGGTGGGGCACATGGCACAAGCAGGTTATGCCACCACCACCTGCGATCTTCTGCACCAGAAATGGACCTTGAGCTACTGGGCTTCAGACAGAGGGAGCAGCTGACACCAGTTTACACCAGAATCTCCAGTTTTCTTCTTGTTTCTAAGTTTTAAAGCACAAGAATTCACACCCCAAAGGGGTGGGGAGGACAGGGACTACAGACACAGGCTGCCCAGAGAAGCTGTGGCTGCCCCATCCCTGGAAGTGTCCATGGCCAGGTTGGACAGGGCTTGGAGAAGCCTGGGATAGTGGAAGGTGTCCCTGCCCATGGCAGGGGCTGGAATGAGATGAGTTTTAAGGTCCCTCCCAACCCAACCAGTCTGGGATTCCATGGTCTACCACCCCAGTGCCCTATTTCCAGAGGATGTGATGCCAGAGCAGGGCTTTGCAGCTGGTTTTGGAGGGAAGACAAGCCCAGGACAAGGACCGGGCAGCCAAGCATGGAACCCCTGTGGATGCAAAACTGCTTCAGCCAGCTTCTGCCTGGGGCAGTGGTACTTTCCTGGGCAGTGAGAGCAGTGGCATGTGCCAGAATCCGGAGAGCAGGAGTGCCTGGCAGCAATGCTGCTCACTCCCCATCTGCACACCTTGGCTCCCTACACCGGATTTTGGACCCCCACATGGGTGAGCAGCATGGATCCTTCTGTCCAGCCTGGCACAGGGCTTTTCCCTGAGCATGTCTGCACTGCATTACAGAGAAGAACAGGCTCCAGCCCAAGGCCGAGCTCTGCCAGGGACAAGGATTATCCCAAGGCACAACACAGTGTCCTAACCTAGCACCCAAAGCCTTTGGACCACATCACACAGGCATCCTCCTCCCCAGGGGCTAAACCCTTCTTAAATTATGGCAAAATCCCCCCACCTCAGCAGGAAAAACACCATGGAAAAGAGGAGACAAAAATCCTACTTAGCAAAATTCACATTCTGTGGGAATTTGGTTTTCCTGGAGAAAGTGAAGGGCAGAAGAGATGCTGATCACAACAGCCTAATCCTCATATATCAGCGCAAAACTCTTCAAGTATTTAATCAATGAGAATTAAAATCACCAAGAATCTTTGCGCTGTCAGGAGCTTAGTGTGACCACCCAAATTTTCCTTAATAAATCTTTCAATCCCAGAATGGTTTGGGTTGGGAGGGACCTTAAAGCTCATCTTGTTCCCACCCCACTGCCACGGGTAGGGACACTTTCCCAACTTGCAGCATCCCTGCAAGGGATGCAGAAATCTAAGCAACAAACAGACTCGACCCCTTAAATAAATTCTTAGTGCTTTCCTTATCCAATTTTTAAAACATTGCATTTTTTTCCTCTCTCCTCCAAATGTCACCTACATTATATACATACACATGTGCAACAAAATGCTGAGGTCATCACTCTGCAAACCCAAAATTTGCTTGGTTTCACAATAAATTATTCCTATATTTAGTATAATTATCTTGCAATCATTATTTGCCTATTTGGCAAATAATTGCCAGTCTCAAACTGTCCCACTTTGCTGCATTTGCTGTTTTATTATTATTATTTTAATTGTTGGGTTTGGGGTTGTTTCCCCCCCTCTTTTTTTTTTTGTGCTTCTCAAAGCATCCAACTGCAATTTCTAACCCTTGAATGCCAACAGACAGAAAAGGAAGAAGAAATAAAATACACTGATTTTCTTTCATCTTTGCTTCGGGTTTGAGATTCATTCACGCTTCAGATACAGGTTATTTATAAATCATGGGAAGCATCGTCTGGAAAGACATTACAGCCCACACTAAAAACCACTGAAAGACCAAAACCCAATCTTTTCACGGCTGAACAGATTGGGGTGAGACAACAGAAATCTTAACAAGCCTTAGAAAAAGCAGAGGGTGATAGTATTTATACCAGGAGGGACTAAGAAGACATGACCTTTCCTTCCAGGAACCTGGATTCACCCCCAGGGTGAGAAATGTCCCTCTAACATCCTATGGCAGTGTGAAAACCCCGAGATACTTTCCTTGTCCTGGGAAGCAGGACAAGACCCTTCTGTTTTACCTTCTGAATGATGACTACATTAAAAAAATGAGGAAAAAGGGAAAAAAAGGAATAACATATCCTGATTTCAGTTGTCCACCCTAAACCTCCCCTGACTCAGCTCCAGTCACTTCCTTGGGTTTATGCTTTATACATAACACTTCATTTATAGCTTATATTAATTTATAGTATAGTGTCAACCCAAAGCATGATGTGAAGCCACAATAGCATGATGTGAATATATACAGTTCATGTTCATTTATAGTTTATATGTAGCACTTTTAGGCATTTCCAAAGGCATTAGTAAGACTACAGTGTAATCTCATTTCTCCTTCCCTCCTCCATAATTTAGCTGAGAAATTTTTGTGATGGACCTCATCAACTACCTGCTAACCCGACTCCCAAATCAAGGCCTGAGACCTCACGAGAAAGCTGCATTTTAAGATCCTGTTATGTGTTTCAGGAGGGGGAAAAAAATAACATTAAACTGGTTGGAATCCGAAACTCTTCCACCTTAGTGGCTGCAGCTCAAGCAGCCAGAAGAATTCCTACAAAAGTGGCCTCTCACCCAGGCAGAGAAGAGGCTCCACCTCAACATTTCATGGAGCATCAGCACAGAAAGCAGAGCTCCCCACGTGCTTGGGATGATCCCTGTGGAACACCACTGCTCTTGGAATTGCAGGAGAGAGCGAAACACACAGGACTCACCACAGGGGATGGAGAAAGTGCAATGTTGCCTATGGAGGCCTTCAGTTCATCCACAGTGGCCGCGCTTCTCAGGACATCCTTGGCCTGCAGGGGCTTGATCTTGATGTTGAACTTCTTGTGCGCCTCCTCTTCCTCCTCGGATTCACTTGAGGAGTAGAAGTGCTTTCCTTTGGTAGGTAGAGCACAGTTAAAGAAATATTCCTTCTGCTTCCCGGGCACTCCAAGGCTGAAGCCTCCCTGGAGAGCAGGATTCAGGTGTTCCCCAAATGCTTATCCCAAATGCCCAAGGGCAGGAGTGAATCCTCCTGCTGTCATCTTTCACTGCTTCATCCATGTATGGGCAGAAGACATGGGAGTGGTATTCACAGGGATAATTCCAGCCCTGGTTTAGCCCAGCAGGGGTTTGTATCCACATCTGGATTTCACAGAATTGTTCAGGTTGGAAAATCCCTCTAAAATCACCAAGTTCAACCCTTCCCAGCACTGCCAAGGCCACCACTGACCCATGTCCCCAAGTGCCACATCCACATGGCTTCTAAATCCCCCCAGGGATGGGGACTCCACCACTGCCCTGGGCAGCTGTGCCAGGGCTGGACAGCCCTTTCCAGGAAGAAATTTTCCCAATATCCAACCTGAACCTCCTTGGGCACAACTTGAGGCCATTTCCTTTTGTGCTGTCCCTTGTTCCCTGGGAGCAGAGCCCAACCATCACCTGGCTCCACCCTCCTGTCAGGGAGTCGCAGAGAGCCAGAAGGTCCCCCTGAGCCTCCTTTTCTCCAGGCTGATGGTGGACATGGTGGTTTCCACGGGGCATCCCACTGGGATGCTCCCATGTTCCTCACGCTTCCTCATTCCACATCAGTGGAACAAAGGCAATTAAAATCACCTTCTGTTCTAATGCCTCAGGTAACTCCCTCTGGAATTTAGTTTTAGCTGTGGAATGATAGCTCAAAATAAAAATAAAAATTAGGAAATAAATAATGATAAATAATAAAAATGAAATAAAGATAGCCAGTGGCCTGCCTGTGAACCCCAGCTCATCTTACAGTTTGTAACCCAAGAGACAAAGCCAACAATAAAGGATATAGCCTGGTTCCTCAGGTCGGATGCTGTATCCCTCCTCATCAAGCTCAGGTGAATTCTGAGTAGGAATATAGAATTAGGAATATTAATTCTGTTCCTGGAAAGCTGGAGAAGCTCTTTCCTCCTGTGGGAAGTGATGTCCAGCAAAGCTCAAGCCCCTGGGGCTACACAGAGCAAAGGCAACCTGTGCTGTGGCACAGCCTTCAAAGTTCACAATTAATTTTGCAGTGCTCAATTTTTGCAGGAAAGCATTTTTAATTCTTGGTTGTAAACCAAGGTTTTCTTTGGATAAAGTACAACATCCTGTTGGCCAGGACAGAGCTCCTCAGAGCCACCTCATTTCTGGGCAGTTTTATACAACCTGATTGACTTGCAGATATGAAATGGAAGTCTGGACAGAACTGACACCCAGACATCACCCAAAAAGCCCCAAATCAGTGTGTGGGAACAGCCTGAGTTCCCCACGAGGATCTGTGCAGGTGCTGGATGAGGGGAAGATCTGTAGGACACTTACATATCTGTCCCAGTCAATCTCCGCGTAAAATCCATTCGGGGCTCCATTTGTCTTCTTCTGCAACACATTGGAAAAGAAAATTTCTATGTTTTAAATGAAGGAAACAAGAAGACATCATATCTTGTAGTTGTGCCTTGGCATGGCTAGGATGCCACTGTGGAACTTCCACACGTGCACATCAGTGAGATAGAACACCATTCCCCGTTTCTGGAAGGTCTCCCATACCAGAGAGATGAAAGGGTGGTTTTGGAACATTCATTAGCTGAAAATATAACATTTCTTAAGGAAAAGCACCAAATGGCACCATTTCTCCATGTGCTGAGATGTTCCAGCCCATGGGGAGAGCTGGTGGCAGTGGGGGCTCTCGATGCCTGTCAAGCAAGAGGTAACGCCACACCTTATCAGGACACAAACACCTCCCCCATGAAGGATTCCGTTTCTGTTACCCAACGTGCCAGGATTTATGGCCCCAGCCCACGGTGATGCCAGGATGGAGCAGTGAGAGGTGTCTGGGATGACATGTTAGTGCATGTCATGACACACCAACAAACACAGAGGTTATTGCTGCTTTGGATCAAGGGAATCTGGTTTGGAAGGAGGCTTTGGGCACCCATCACCTGAAGGACTCTTTGCTGGTCTGCTCTGGGCACCCAAAACCCACCTAGAGCTCCCACTGGCCACCACAGCCAGTTGAACAGCAATGTCAGTGGGGACTCACCTTAGGCTGGGCTCAATTTTGGACACCTAAATTGGATAATCCAGTTCCCTTAAGCTGCCAGAGGGAGCATCCTCACCCCAGCACCCTGCCAAGGGTGTGACACAATGCACTGGCCTGGGGCTGGACCCAGCACCCTCACCCTCTATATCTTACCCATCAGACCTCAAGACACTGCCCAAGGGTGGAGCAGCTTCCTGAGAGGCTCAAGGATGAAGAAACATCCTCTGGATGCTGTTCTGTGGGACTTCTGGATGCTGTTCCATGGCACTCCTGCTTTTCCCCCATTGGTTTCCATTTAACCCCATTTCTACCAACCCACATACATCCTGGGTGAACCTAAAGAGTATTTTTCTGTATTCTGGGTTTCAAACCAAGAAGGACTCACTGTTTTTAAGAACCCTTTGGTAGCTGTGAACCGAGCTCTGCTTTCCTTACCGAGTTATTTCCTCCTTCCCGCGCACTCTCAGGTTTGCTATTGCAAGATGGATCATTGGGATGAGGGCTGGGCTGCTGCAAGGGATGGGGGGTGGCAGAAAAAGGGTTAAAGTCTCTGCTCCTTGGTCGTTGGTTTTTTAAATACACAAAAATAAGCTACAAGGAACTAGCAAACTGATTTATGAGGAAAGGAGGGCTCAGCTGTGGCTCCATTAGGATTAAGCACAGTTTTTACTGGGGGCTCTATTCAGCAGTTGGAGGATTTGCCTCTTGGCTACTCCAGTGGCTGCAAACATTATGGGGAGAACATGTTTTAGGAGGAAAAATTATATTCAGTGTCTTCATCTCCAATTCCCCTGCTTCAAATGCATTCAGTAGCTTCATTATACCCCCCAAAAATTGCAATTCTGCATCCTTCAGCTTGCTGGAGCACTGGAGACCCTGCCCTGCACCCCCCTCAAACAACAAGCCACTTGGCAAACAAGAGTAGGAGCCCCATGGAGAGGGCACCTGAGTTCACCTGAGGTCCCTGCACCCACATCTGGCAAGAAAAGCTGCCCAAGGCATTTCTGTGGCAGAGGGAACAGCTCTGGGCTGTTCTCTGTATATTCACAGTGTCATTAAGGTTGGAAAAGCCCTCCAAGATTGAGTCCAATCTGTGCCCAATCCCCACCTTGTCACCCAGCCCAGCGCACTGAGTGCCACGTTCAGTCATTCCTTGGACACCTTCAGGGATGGACAACTCCACCCCCTCCCTGGGCAGCCCCTTCCAGTGCCTGACCTTTCCATGAGAAAATTCCTCCTGATATCCAACCTGAACCTCCCTGACACAGCTGAAACTGAACCTGTTAATGTTATTTATTCATTTACCACTGCTGAATAGAGCCCTGGTTAAAGTGTTGCCCGAGCTGCTGATTTTTTAATCTCTATTTCTGAACAAGTTTACAGACACAGGGCAAGCCTAAAGCCAAGAATTTGGGGTTAGATGGGGAAAAAAGTGATCCCTTGGAAGAAGCAGCTTGGTACCTTAACTGTTGCATGGCTTTGAAAAGACACCCCAGCACTGCTCTCCTTGCTGAGCCTCCCAAGGGGCTCGTTTTTAACGTGAAATTTTAACATCATTTGTTTGAAAAATAAAGCCAGCACGCTCCCAGTCTGACTTATTGATATCAAATGGCTAAAGGAGACACGGTCCATCTACTACCCAGACCTAGCAGGGACATTTCTGCCTAACACAAGAAATAAAAGCAGCAATAATTAAAAAACCTCAAGTATCTCCTTGTTTTCAGGTTAATATAGAAAATAAAAATAGATATTGGAAACAGCTGCTCTGACAATTTCCCCTTAACTCCTCACACAGCAAATCTGACCCAAGCCAATTAGCAGGAGTGGAAACAAGGATGAGGAGGGTTTTAGTAGGACACCTGGTCCCTCTGCCCCTGGGACTCCTGAGATCTCCCTGTATTGTTATTTTCTTCGTGTTAATTTTGCAGGAAACCTAGAATAGGTCATTATTTCAAAGAGAGATTCTTACTGAAATTTGTTTTCTATATTAAACAGAAATGAGGAGACTGTTCAGAAAATGCAGATGGTGGTGGGTGGGGGAAGTGACACTTTAGGGGCCACAATAGGAGTGGGACCGGGGTCTGGGCAATACTTACGATGCCATCCCTGTCTGGTGAACCCCTACAAAGAACAGAAAGAAACAGAGCTGTGTTAGTGCCCAAACCACACCAATGCTTAATTAACTTCTGGAAATGGTTTTCTTAATGAATCCACAGCAGCAATGGTTGTAATTATGAAATTATCAGCAAACTTGAATTAACTGTCCCACATGCTCCTTGTGAAACCCACCCAATGGTCTCAGAACCATTGTCCTCTCATTATCAGATGACAAATTTTATGTTTATTAATGATAAAGTGCTCCTGCTGATGGTCTGTCCTGACCAAGGAGTTGGGCTGGCTCCTTGCACCCATCCCATGGCCACGCCCCTGCTCCAGCTCTACATCCTTTTGCAGAAGACAAAAACCATTTCTACAGTAATTTCGAGAATTTTCTTCTGCCAGAAGGACAGTTACTTCTCTTTGGAATGGATTTTAAAACTGATGAGGCTCCTCAGGGATCCTAATCCACAACTGATTATGGGATTTGGGCTCGGTCACGGCAGCTCCACAGCCACATTTCAACACTGCCCAGGGGTGCTAAGTTATTCAGTGAAGACAAATGTTTATGGAATCCAGACGGGCTCCTCCACCTCCCACGTGCTCCCAAGTCTTATGCCTTGCCAGGGATTTGCCACCAATTCATGTCTGACTCAGGGCATCATGGTAACCCCGTTGGGAGCTGTTTGTTTTGGCAGGGAATAATGCCTTTCCTTGGACTTCTCCAACTCAAACATATCTGCATCCCATCTCTCCAATCTTCTGCTTAATCTCTTTGCACAAAGGTCTCTGAAACTCTTTGGGAGAAGCAAAAATCTCTTCTGCTTCTGTGTTTCCTCCCCATGTAGGGGATGTCACCTGGTCATATCCTGGTTGGAATTGCTGTGGAGATTATCATTGCTCATCAGGTGGAGGGAAGAGGTGAAAGGTTCTCACTACAGTGTTGCAGCTCCAGCAGATCCCCAGGACCAGGCAGCACCTCCAGAGCCACCATCACCACAGTGCCCACCATCAGGACCGGGGGCCGTGGTGGCCTGGCCATGGCAGAGGGTGATGGGGGCCTGTCAGAGCCCACTACTCTCCCAATGCCCCTCCCAACCCTGACGGGGGATTTGGAGAGCGCTCAGAGCCGTCCGGGGCTGTGACCGTGCCGTGACCCCGCGCCGTGCTAATCACTGCTGTGCTAATTGCAGTGTCCTCCACAGTGGCCTCTCTGCGAACTCATTCCCACCCCCAGCACCCCGGGATTCCTTATCTCCCATGCCACTGGCTCCCACAGCCGCTCGGAAGGGCAGGACAGAGCAGGCATGGAAAGTGCGGTGCTGGGTAAGGCAGGAGGGAGATCCGGCTCTGTCGCGTTCTGTTTCCCCTTCTCGCGGAAAATCAAAGCAGGCTGATTCCTGCCCATCCTTCTGAAAAATTATAGGTGAATCCATACATGGCTGGAGCTCCTGGTTGTCCCGCTGATTGCCTGGCTGGTGGATGGATGCCACCATTCCCAGTGACAAGCTGCTCTCTGCCAGCTGGAGAACAGCTCGGTGCTGCACAACCCTCTTTTGAGATGTGCTCCGTGTCCCCCTATTTTTGGTCCCCTCTTTGCAGCAGACAAAGCCCTGCACCAGGGACACCATGGCCCCAGGTGCATGGCCAGGCCTTGCAGATGTCCCTTTGCACAGGAAACCTCCAAACCCCCAGCCACCAAGACATAAAACAGCTCAAGAAAACAAATCTAAATGAAATAAAAAGAAACCTTAGAGTGTCTGCTGTGCCAGACATTAAGCACCTGCATGAGGCTGCAGATGCAGGAATGAGGCTCCCTGCTGCCTTTCTCCTGCTCTGTTCCCAGGCTATGGGTGGCACAGGCTCCTTTGTCACAATGCTTTGGGACATCTACCCCAAAGCCACAGCAGTGGTGGCCAATCATTGAGGTTGGGAAAGCCATGGAGTCCAACCATTCCCAGCACTGCCAAGGCCACCACTAACCCACATCCCCAAGTGCCACATCCACACAGCTTTTAAATCCCTCCAGGGATGGGGACTCCAACACTGCCCTGGGCAGCCTGTTCCAATACCTGACAGCTCTTTCCATGAAGAGATTTCCCCTCATATCCAACTTAAGCTTCTCCTGGTCTGAGATAATGCTATTTCCTCTCATCCTGTCCCTTGTTCCCTGGGAGCAGAGCCCGACTCCCACCTGGCTCCACCCTCCCGTCAGGGAGTTGCAGAGAGTGAGAAGGTCCCCCCTGAGCCTCCTTTTCTCCAGGCTGAGCCCCCCCCAGCTCCCTCAGCTGCTCCTGGTGCTCCAGACCCTTCTCCAGAACAATCCCAGGACTGATATCAGCACCCCACCAGCAGCTCTGCACCCACACAGAGCATCCCCTGCCAGATACCGGAAGATCGCCCCCACATGTTTTCCTGGAAAGCAAAATTATTTCTCACAGCAGAGGCAAAAGATCTTGTGCTCCATCAGCCCCCTGCTCCGCATCATCCTGAGCCTGCCCCAGCCACAGAGCCCCTCCCCACCACAGCCTCACTGCCTGCACAAGCATCTGTTTAAATTGAATTGGCATCTATAAAGAGCTCAGCAGACAAGGCAAATTAGTAGTTTGGGCAGAGATTAATCTGCTGAAACTCTCAGAGGAGTAGTTTTCCTCTGATCACCACTCACTGTCACCGTAAATCGCACACAGGCAGAGAACCTGCTTGATCATCTCTGCAGCAACACCGAGGAAACCCCTGATTTGTTGGCCACTGGATGTACAAGGGGAAGCAGCTTCAATGTATTTGTTATTAAAGACTTGATCTAATAAATGCCTGTGATGGCCCAGCTTCCTGCCTGTCCTGGTACAGCGGCATCCACTCCTCCCTGGCATCATTATACATTAATGTGATTTATATCTCATGGACTCACGTGGAATCAGTGTCCTTTTCTTTCTTCCGTATACCAAAGGCCTTCCTGGTACGTTTTTTCAATCCTGTGGGTACAAGGAACACAAAAGAAATGCAATATTAATATAACACTTCAAGTAAATCCTCCAAAAGGTTCCTTATTCCCTTGCTGGCTGTAATCCATAAATAAGGTTAAACAAGGAAAGAGCCAAACCCCAGAAGCTGCCAGCAGGACTTTGCAGGTTGTGCGTACATTTGCTTATGCCATTTATTTGTTCACTTAACACTTATTAACTTGATCCCAGCGTGTGGGGTTGTATTTCACAGTTAATATTCCTAAGCTTTCTGTCTTAATCACACCCTCATGCTGCGTGTGGGCTCTAATGCATGGAGGGGAAACCCCTCTTTGGTGTTAAAAAACGGTTTAAACCATGAGGCTGGTTATCTTCTGTGGTGATTCTTGATCTGCACAGTGCTTGAAATGATGCCTGGTACCAGTAATGCTGGAGCCAGATGGGAAGTGGGAAGTCCTGGAAGCTCCAGAGCCCATCAGGGCATCAGCCACCACCACAACACTTGGAAGCCAGATGGAGGAGAGTGGGTTTCTCCAAGCTTCTCCCTCTTTTTACAGAATCCCAGACTGGTTTGGGTTGGAAGGGATCTTAAAGCTTATCTCGTTCCTAGGCAGGGACACCTTCCACTAGTCCAGGTTGCTCATCCATCCCCAGCCTATGGGATCCATATGTCCCAGCTGTCAAGGGCAACACAAGCAGCTGGAATCCACAGACTCATCCTGCACCTTCATGGACAGTTTTGGTGTTACTATATCCATGCCTTTCATCTTTCCTACTTTCTTCAGGACTCAGACGAGTCATTAATAACAGAGGAACATTCCCATTAATCTCCCCCCTGGAATAACTTCATCCTCCAAACTCAAAATAGAACAGGAAAGGCCAAAACCCCCAGAAATGAGTTGTTTAGTCTTATCTGAAGCAGCACCCAATGTGGCTAAATTTTGTAACACAGCCTTCTGCTCAGTTATATAATAGGCCCACCATCTGCTTGAAGCGGTTATGATTATGATTGAGGGGAAAAAGGGATATTTAGGAAAGGGAGAACAAAAATTACATTTTCCTTTGGAGATGGCTGTTGGGAGCCAGTGGGAGCAGGTCCCCCACCAAACCCCACTGTCAGCGCAGGGCAAGGCAATGACTGCCCTGATGGAGAAATCAGAAAGGTCTTCAGGTCAGTGGGGTATGACACAGTGATTTTCCAGGAGTAGAATTTTCCCAGAATTTCAGTGGCTGCAGCTCAAAGGAGCTCGTGTCTCCCCTGACATGGTGAAACGCCCCATCCAGTGGTGCAAGGGCTGAGCCAAGGGTTGTGCACACCAAGGTACTGCACACCCTGGGCCTTAAATCTCCTTTCAGCTGTTTTTAGTAGCTGAAGGAAGATAAAACCTGTCCTGGCAAGAACAATTATTTTAAAAATAATAAGAAGATCTTGTCCATGGAGGGAATGCTACATGGAGACACTATGGATACATTGGAATCTCACAGGATAAGAGATCCACTGCTGGAAGAGAAAAGGTGATGGTAAGTGGGACAGACAGCAGAGAAGAGTCAGTGAAGCAGCAGAAAGGCTGAAAGTGTGGAAGAAAGCATGAAAGAAAACATGCCAATGTGGGGTATAATTCATATTTAATTTACTATTATCTTTTTTTCCTTGGTATAACCAAGAATTGGCATCTGAGAAACAGGAACTACTACTTCAAAATATGTAAAGCTTCATAGTGTTTTCTTGAGAATTACCAACATCTTATTTTCTACGCCAAAGACTTCACACCTCTAGAAGAAAAACAACCCTGTTCTTCCAAATCCAGTCCCCTGCCCTCCATCCCCATGCAGTGGGAGCAGCTGTTGCCTCTGGAGCCCCAAATATTGAGGGAAGTCCATGGAGAAAGAGTTACTCACTCAGGAGGATGGAACTCATAAGCAACACACCTCTCCAACAGGAGAGACAGACTGTAAATGCTCTTCTAGGAAAACTAAAGAAAAAAATGCTCAAAATTAGTTCTACTTCATCTGTGCAGAGATAAATATTATCTATGGCCATGGCAGAGACTCAAGACCAAAGTACCTGTGGGGAGAGGGAAAGAAGGAAGGGAGAAGAATAGGGTAGGGCAATAAGAAATAGTCACCATTAAGTTTGGTTTTCTTTTGGTTTGGTTGTGTGTGGGTTTTTCAGAGCTGGATTTGAACAACTTGCTTTCCCCACCACACACAAACCTGCAGCTCCTACCAAATCCCTTTGCTGAGTCCAGAGATGTGCTGTTCCATAGCCAAAGGACTCTGGTTTTGGCCCACTTTACTAAAGAAATAATAGCCCTCTCTCTGCTCAGCAAGACAGAGCCAAAGGTAAGACAACACTACTGAAAACCTGAGCCACATTCAGAGGAAAAATTGAACAGTAAATTAAGTTTTCAGAAGTGAGGGTATAACCACATCAAGCCCCAAATAAATACCCAAACAGCCATGCCTCAAATGTAGCAGCCTGAATCTACCACCAGTGGCGTATTTGACATGAAAACGGGCATTTCGGTCCATTGCAAACCCAGAGATTCTCAATTGCTTCATCCTCTGTAGCAGAAAAGCCACACTGCTTCAGTCCATGTTATTTTTGGTTTTGTTCACTTTATCTGTAATTATTATATGTGTTCATAACATAAAATGCTTTACCTATACCAACCTCTGCATTAAAGCGCAGTACCAGCCTTTCAGTGGCCTCAATAATGCAGTGAAAAACGGAGCCCTCTGCACACTGCCTTGATAAAGTCATGAATATTTCAACCACTTTCATTTACAAGTCTAATTACAGACCTTATTCTGGAGAAGAGACCGAGGGACACCAGCAAGTGGCAGTTGGGCAGTGATGGTACCACTCCTGTGGCAGCCAAAGGGTTCATCCTGCACCAGCCCAGCCCTGCAGACCATGGAAAGGGTTGTAGCACAAATCCTTCAGTAGACAAGCTCTGCTGCTGCTCCCTGTGCCTGCTGCAGTGCCATCAGGCTCCAGCAACAAACCCATCACCTTGAAATTCGGGATTGTTCAGCCTGGAGAAGAAAAAGCTCCAGGGAGACCTTAGATCCCCTTCCAGTGACTAAAGGGGCTCCAGGAGAGCTGAAGAGGGACTTTGGACAATGGCCTGCAGGGACAGGATGAGGGGGAATGGCTTCCCACTATCAGAGGGCAGGGTTAGATGGGATATTGGAAAGGAATTCTTGGCTGTGAGGGTAGTGAGGCCCTGGCACAGGTTGCCCAGAGAAGCTGTGGCTGCCCCATCCCTGCAAGTGTCCATGGCCAGGTTGGACAGGGCTTGGAGCGACCTGGTCTAGTGGAATGTGTCCCTGCCCATGGCAGGAGGTGGGACTGGATGGGCTTTGAGGTCCCTTCCAATGCAAACCATTTGATGATTCCATGATTACAGTCCTCCACACACACAATAGTTTCTCCCCTTTAGGGGAAAAAAAAAAATAGTGAGAGAAAAGGGGTGGTGGCCTCACTACAGTTCTATCACTCGCTGCCAGAGCGGAATGTTGTTGGCATCTTGCTGTGGCTCTCAGGAAAAAAGAAATACTTGAAAACAAAAGTGAGCAACAACAATTGTGGACTTGGTCATTGGTTTTGTTTGTTTTTTGTTTTTAAATATACGCTGAAAAATTTGGTCCTTATCAGAAATTTCAGTTGGAAGACACTGGAGGACTAGCAGTGTTTGAGAGCCTAAAACAAAATCACAAATAAGCCTGAACAAAATAAAACATCGTAAGTTACTGCTCTGGGATTGTTTTCTCCTACAATAGGACTGTTTGGTCCTGGGTGAAAGTCCCAGGAGGTTGAGCCTTGTAAATAATAGAATTTTGAGATGCAGTACATGTCACCAGCCACTGAGGAGTCCAGCTATGGTGGTCTTGGTCACATCAAGGAGATCCAAAGTTATGTAGTAAAGCCAAGCCCCACCATCAAGCAGAGTCATGCTGAGGAGGAACAGAGAGTTGGCACCACACTCAGTCTTGGTCCTGCTCAGCCTGGGTGACCCCTGGGCTGGCACGTGGCTGATGGGAGAGGGAGCAGGGCAGCCAGGAAACTGGAGCAGATGGAGATGGGCACCTGCAGGAGATTGTCCATCCAGCACAGCTCCAGAACTACATCTAGAACAGCTGTGTTGGGGTCCAAGTGCCTACCCAGGAATGGATATGCAGTGGTGAGGGATCTCCACTCCAAAGGACAGAGGCAACACAAGATCCTGTGGCTGACTCAAAAATAGTCAGATTTCCAATGTGACAGTAATTAAGTCCCTGATCAGGTTGTGGCAAACTTTGCCTAAGGAGATTTTGAATTAACATCCAACACCTTTCTAAAAACAAACACTATATTCCAGCTATGAGATGTGAAGTAATTAGAAGAAGTCCTGTGGCCACCTCTGGGTTTGTGGCTGCTGACATGTGTCCAGTGTCCATCCCCACGTACCCACAGGGGTTTGGGCTCCTGGGACCTGCACATCTTGCCCCTTCCCATGGGTCTGCACTTTCTTCCCTTTGCAAACTCCCAAATACCCATTTGCAGTAGTTGGGGCCAGGAGTTCAAAACGCCAGAGCCCTGGAGTCAAAACCTGCTCTTTGCACACCCTCAGCACAGTGAGGGAGAACATACTGGCTGATTTGGAATCACAGAACCATTTAGGTTGGAAAATACCTCCAAGATAAAGTGCAACCATTCCCCCAGCACTGCCAAGGCCACCACTGACCCATGTCCACATGGCTTTTAAATCCCTCCAGGGATGGGGACTCCACCACTGCCCTGGGCAGCTGTTCCAATGCTTGACAACTCTTTTAGTGAAGAAATTTTTCCTAATATCTAACCTGAACCTTCCTGGCATTTCAATATACCCAGATAAAAAAACCTTTGCCTGGGCATTAGTCCAACCCCTTCATTTTGCAGGCAGTTCAAATACCTCATGTACCTGCAGCTCAGGAACAAGACCCCAGCCCCTAACTGCAGCCCCAGGATGTGGGAATACACCTCAAAC